AATTTTTAAAGTGTGCACCAAATTCCGGAATTCGGTGTTGACTTAAGCCTTCGGTGCAGACTTTGGGGAACAGTTGACCCATTTTATATTCCTGCTGGAGAAGAATTTTTTTTTGGTTTTCGCCAATCTTCAAGATATATTTTATGAATGAAGACAAGATGGAATTAGTCCAAAAAGGGAATTTTTACCAAGAGCAGGCTGCCCTGATCGATTTGATGTCTAGATTTCCCGTTTTCTGCTCGGATAAAGCAGCATAAAACTTACATTATCCATGGTACAACAAACATCACAACATCCCAAAATTTGGTGCTTTATCCGAGCAGAAAACGGGAAATCTAGACATCAAATCGAACAGGGCAGCCTGCTCTTGGTAAAAATTCCCTTTTTGGACTAATTCCATCTTGTCTTCATTCATAAAATATATCTTGAAGATTGGCGAAACCCAAAAAAATCTTCTCGAGCAGAAATATAAAATGGGTCAACTGTTCCCCCGAAACCCTGCACCGAATTCCGAAATCCGGTGTCGACTTAGAGCTTCGGTGCAGACTTAAGACTTTTTGCACCGATTTCGAAAAACGGGCGTTGGGTTTAGCAAAAATGCACCGGATTCCGGAATTGGGTGCCGCGTAAAAATTTCGGTCGACGCCAATTTTTCGATTTGGGTGTCGACTTTTTTGTGCACCGAAAATCGCGATTTGGAAAAAAAAAATTCCGAGATCTTATATGACCACCTTTATATGTAGGCCATAGGCCACATATGAATTCCTGAAAGTTTTAGCTCGCAGTTTGCAAGAGCAACCGAGATATTCAACGATCTTTTAGGCCGAGAGAGTACGTAAAAGGCGGAGAGCGGTCAGAGAAAAACCTTTTTTGGCCGTATCTTGGCTAGTTTTGCATGGAAAAAATTGATCTTTTGTGGAAATATTGCTCTATGTGAGAGAAATAGATATAAGGCGGGTGCGTTAGTAATTCGCGCCAAACTTGAGAGCGGGAAACGAAGAGAGGGCGCAGAGAGGCAGAGAGAGCACGAAATAGCGCGCGTTTCTCTCGCTCTCTTCGTTTTTTCTCCCCATTTCTTCGTCCCAGGTGACTGGGATGTCGATTTGAGGCCTCCCAGTCAGGAACCGGCAAAATTTTTCGGAAGTTTGGCGCGAATTACTAACGCACCCGCCTTATATGAAATTTTTCATGATAAAATTTGCAAAGAAAGTGTTACATTTTTTCAAAAAAATGTCTAAAATTTGTTCCAGGTTTCAACAAAATGAAAACTTTCTGAGCGTCGCACTTGGGGTACTTCCCTTGGAAAAAATATTTTTATTCAATACGTCATGATGCGAGTTCGTTATGCAAAGTTTTTGCGTCAAACCATGCGAAACTGACCAAAAAAATTTACTGTAGTTACCGGTCAAATTTGATAAAATACAGGGTGTACCAATTTGGTGGCCCGATTTGAATTGGCTATAACTTCTTTAATCTTGGGCCAAATTTTAAAATTATTTTTTCCCCTGAATCCTCAGACATTCCCATTTTGTTTAATACCAAATATGTGGCAGGAGTACAGAAATCTCGCCATCTTTGTCGTGAAGAACAAAAGACCTCAAAAAATAAAAAAAAAGCAGTCGTATCTTGTGAACGGTACAGATAGTTGTGAGGGGAAAAAAAGAATTTTAAAATTTGGCCCAAAATTAAAAGAGTTATAGCAAAATCAAATCGGCCCACCAAATTGGTACACCCTGTACAATGCATCAAAAGGCAGGTAATATATGATTAAAGCAGCCCTCCAAAGTATGCACACTTCAAATTTATACTACTATAAATCTCCAACGCCTGCGGGCCCTGGTGACTCAGAACTGACCAGTGGCCATTTTTCCTCCCGTTTGCTGCGATTTTTGCGAACTGAAAATTAATCAGAGACAAATTAAAAACACCCTCGCTAGCAAAAAAAAAAACTTGGTCCCTAAGAAGAAGAAATTTTGCCATGTGCATATTTCCCATGTTGAGGGTCATAAGTCTGTTTTGCTTTTGTTAATAACTGGGTCCAGAAATTCGCCGTCTCTTCCGGCTTTTATTCGAACCATAAACAAAAACAAGATTTTAATGGTGAGTTGCTCATGCATAAATTACAAATTCTAAGAAGGAGGATGTTTGTGGAACATGATTTACCAGAAGAAATCGGAAAATAATCGACCAATGTCCCTGAAGCCATTTTTACCGCAAAAAAGCAAGCAAACTTTTGCTTTCACGCTGCACGTCAAATTGACAATACACTGAAAGAAAAAACATCATAAATTTTTGATGTTTTTCATCAGTCTATTAGATTTTGATAAAAACATCAAAAAATTTTTTTTGATGTTTCGTTTCATCAAAAAGAAAAAAAAATGCGATATTTTTTTTTGATGTGGCGCACATCAAAAATTTTTGATGTTTGGAAAATCAAATATTTCTGATAATTTATCAAAAAAATGATACAAATAATATTAGTTAAACGATTTATTCAAATAAACCGTTAGCCACAACACAATTTCGGCCAAATGGCTGTAATATTCATAGAGGTTGACCATGTCGCCTTTAAACTCAATGAAACGGCTGTTTCTGGCTCTGATCCCAGACAACGATTGGAAGACAGTGTCGTTGCGTCGTGGAACATGTCATCACGCCATTACCACCGGGTGTCCGCATCGCATGGCCTAAAGATCAAACTACTACAATATACATAACTCACATGTTTGATGAATCCCGACTTCTGAAATATCAAAAGTATACTGTTTTCCATTGATCATCAAGCTTCTGGACGGCCCAGGCCTACAAATACACGATGTTAATTTTACCGTCATTAACCGCAGGCCGTCTTACCGAAAACACCATTCCAACTCTTCCACTGTGTTTGTGTAGCTGTTAATGCTGACGATGGAGATGATCACGGGTTGATGATGCAGGTCTTTGACGGAAAAGTCGACATCCACCTATAAATTTACACAATCAACATTTGACAATTCTTAAAATATGTTATGAGCTCACCATGGATAAGATGCCACGACGAGTATTCCCTAAACAGTTATAGATGTAATTCTTCTTTGGGTTCGGCGGGGCGCAAGTCCAGGTAATCCTTCACGTCCGGGCAGACCTTGCGGTAAAGCGGATAGCTCTTGAAGGTGCCAACTTCCATTGTCCAATTGATGAGCTTGCTGTGTGATGGGGCATATTCATTTTGCGGGAAAACAACATACCCCGAACGGGATTCGCTCTGAAGTCAAGTGCAATATAAAGAAAGGCCTGAAATTGAAGGAAATTCGACAAAATTTAAATCCAAAGACCTTGCAAACGAAGTTACATAACCTTTCATTTACTGATCTAAACATAAAAGAAAACAACAACAAAATTCGCTTACCTCACCTGACAATCACGATCGTTTACAAAATTTATGAAGAGAAATCCGACCGATTTCTTGTATCTTTCTTTTTGGAGTTCAATTTGCGAATTGCAATTTGATAAACCCAAACATCAAAAAAATTTTTTTTGATGAAAACATCAAAATCTCCTGCTTTTGATGTCGTCGACATCATAAATGCGTGATGTTTTATTTTGATGAATTTGAATTTGATGTTTTTTCTTTCAGTGTAGATGGAATCAAAGGCTGAAGGACGCACTGAAGGAATACGTGAATGCGGAAAATGGAGAACGCAAACTGATGGTACAAGAGGTGGTACGTGCTGTCTCAATGCTAGCGTTTGGGCGGATGCTCGTGGAAAGGTTCGAATTCGTTCCAAGGTCGACGTTAAAGGTGTACCACGTTCCAAGGTCGACGTTAAAGGTGCACAAGAGCGTCCTAAACAAACGTTCTGGTTTTCGTCCCGTTTACTGATTGTGAGGAGTCCGGTGACCGGAATAGACTCTTCGCTATCGGCTTTTTACTTTTCGTCTTTATTTAGCAGAGAAAGAGAGAAAAAACACACGCAAAAGCGCACTCTCTCGCCCCAAAAATTCCCCATTTCTTCCCCGACAAAACGTTTTTTCGCGTCTTTTTTTGGCAAATTACCAACCCATTCACCGGACTGTTTTAGCTTGTCTCAGTTTGACGTTCGCTGTGCTTGTCGCCAAAATCGCTCCAGCGACCTTGTGAACGGCCGAGTAAAGCGTTTCCATCAGTCTGTCGGGAAAACAATGGGAGAAAAATAATGAGAAAAAATTGAATTTTTTGAAAAATAAAACGTTTCGAATTTTGATGAAACTTGTCGAAAATTACGACAAGACCTTTGTAAGAGGACTATCAATCTGTCAGGAAAATAATGAGCACTCTGTCGCATCGCCGCTGAGAAAATGAATTGTGTCGCGACAAAATCAAATCGCTTATCGCTTCAGCGAAGCAATTGGACGACATACGCTCACTATTTTGCTGACGGACTGATACCTGGCCTGGATCGGGTTGGGAGGTGTTTCATTTTCTTTGGCCCGAGGGCAACAGACAGCACTTTTAAATTATGTACGCGTATTTTTTCTTGGATTGCAAATCTGTTTCTCACAACAAAAGTTAAGGAATTGCGAAGTCATTGCAGATAAAAAACCAAAGCTTCTGTCTATGATTTTTGTTATAAAGGTGCGTCTTTTTAGACGCTCAAAGAGCGCAGAAAAACCTCTCCTATAAATATGTCCGCACACATCATACAAATGCTCCAGTATCCTTTCCTATCATGGCAGATATTGGACGCATCGTGTGCAATATTTTCGCTTCTGTTTACTTCCTTTTCCTTATATTGTGAGTTTTTGAAAATTATTCATACATAATATATAATTATTCATACATAATATATATTGTGCACCGCACGGTGCACAAGAACCCCCATTTTGCACAGTGCATTTCACCTTGTTGTTTGGCGTTCGCACCGTGCGGAAATATCGCTGCGATGCAAACTTTTTTCAACTTCGTCATCGCGGTTTTGCTGAACGATTTGCACAGTGCAAACGCCTTTTTTTATTGTTTTGCACTGTGCGAAGAGAGAAAAATGCACTGTGCGTTGGCGACAAGCTTGGGAAAGTACGTATTCGAAATGCACTGTGCAAAGGCTAAAAAATGTCCATGCACTTTATGAAATTGCTAATATCAGCATGTCGGGAAAATAATGAGCACAATTTTCAGTGTTGGGGTGTTCTTTACTATTCATGACTTTGACAAAATCCCCGAAGTGGACGAAAAGTTGTGGAGCAACAATCAAATCTTGCAAGCCACAAACGTGCTTTTCGATCAAAATGTTGGCCAAAAATATGTTTCCAAAAATTTCGAGGAGGCCGACGCTCTGCTCCGGTACAAGACGCGGTTCACTTACTTTACGGTCATGGTCCTGGCGGACGATTACTCGTTGCTGGAGAAGGATGTGAATCGCGGGAATGGCAGCTGTCTGCGTCAAACCATGCGAAACTGACCAAAAAAATTTACTGTAGTTACCGGTCAAATTTGATAAAATACAGGGTGTACCAATTTGGTGGCCCGATTTGAATTGGCTATAACTTCTTTAATCTTGGGCCAAATTTTAAAATTATTTTTTCCCCTGAATCCTCAGACATTCCCATTTTGTTTAATACCAAATATGTGGCAGGAGTACAGAAATCTCGCCATCTTTGTCGTGAAGAACAAAAGACCTCAAAAAATAAAAAAAAAGCAGTCGTATCTTGTGAACGGTACAGATAGTTGTGAGGGGAAAAAAAGAATTTTAAAATTTGGCCCAAAATTAAAAGAGTTATAGCAAAATCAAATCGGCCCACCAAATTGGTACACCCTGTACAATGCATCAAAAGGCAGGTAATATATGATTAAAGCAGCCCTCCAAAGTATGCACACTTCAAATTTATACTACTATAAATCTCCAACGCCTGCGGGCCCTGGTGACTCAGAACTGACCAGTGGCCATTTTTCCTCCCGTTTGCTGCGATTTTTGCGAACTGAAAATTAATCAGAGACAAATTAAAAACACCCTCGCTAGCAAAAAAAAAAACTTGGTCCCTAAGAAGAAGAAATTTTGCCATGTGCATATTTCCCATGTTGAGGGTCATAAGTCTGTTTTGCTTTTGTTAATAACTGGGTCCAGAAATTCGCCGTCTCTTCCGGCTTTTATTCGAACCATAAACAAAAACAAGATTTTAATGGTGAGTTGCTCATGCATAAATTACAAATTCTAAGAAGGAGGATGTTTGTGGAACATGATTTACCAGAAGAAATCGGAAAATAATCGACCAATGTCCCTGAAGCCATTTTTACCGCAAAAAAGCAAGCAAACTTTTGCTTTCACGCTGCACGTCAAATTGACAATACACTGAAAGAAAAAACATCATAAATTTTTGATGTTTTTCATCAGTCTATTAGATTTTGATAAAAACATCAAAAAATTTTTTTTGATGTTTCGTTTCATCAAAAAGAAAAAAAATGCGATATTTTTTTTGATGTGGCGCACATCAAAAATTTTTGATGTTTGGAAAATCAAATATTTCTGATAATTTATCAAAAAAATGATACAAATAATATTAGTTAAACGATTTATTCAAATAAACCGTTAGCCACAACACAATTTCGGCCAAATGGCTGTAATATTCATAGAGGTTGACCATGTCGCCTTTAAACTCAATGAAACGGCTGTTTCTGGCTCTGATCCCAGACAACGATTGGAAGACAGTGTCGTTGCGTCGTGGAACATGTCATCACGCCATTACCACCGGGTGTCCGCATCGCATGGCCTAAAGATCAAACTACTACAATATACATAACTCACATGTTTGATGAATCCCGACTTCTGAAATATCAAAAGTATACTGTTTTCCATTGATCATCAAGCTTCTGGACGGCCCAGGCCTACAAATACACGATGTTAATTTTACCGTCATTAACCGCAGGCCGTCTTACCGAAAACACCATTCCAACTCTTCCACTGTGTTTGTGTAGCTGTTAATGCTGACGATGGAGATGATCACGGGTTGATGATGCAGGTCTTTGACGGAAAAGTCGACATCCACCTATAAATTTACACAATCAACATTTGACAATTCTTAAAATATGTTATGAGCTCACCATGGATAAGATGCCACGACGAGTATTCCCTAAACAGTTATAGATGTAATTCTTCTTTGGGTTCGGCGGGGCGCAAGTCCAGGTAATCCTTCACGTCCGGGCAGACCTTGCGGTAAAGCGGATAGCTCTTGAAGGTGCCAACTTCCATTGTCCAATTGATGAGCTTGCTGTGTGATGGGGCATATTCATTTTGCGGGAAAACAACATACCCCGAACGGGATTCGCTCTGAAGTCAAGTGCAATATAAAGAAAGGCCTGAAATTGAAGGAAATTCGACAAAATTTAAATCCAAAGACCTTGCAAACGAAGTTACATAACCTTTCATTTACTGATCTAAACATAAAAGAAAACAACAACAAAATTCGCTTACCTCACCTGACAATCACGATCGTTTACAAAATTTATGAAGAGAAATCCGACCGATTTCTTGTATCTTTCTTTTTGGAGTTCAATTTGCGAATTGCAATTTGATAAACCCAAACATCAAAAAAATTTTTTTTGATGAAAACATCAAAATCTCCTGCTTTTGATGTCGTCGACATCATAAATGCGTGATGTTTTATTTTGATGAATTTGAATTTGATGTTTTTTCTTTCAGTGTAGATGGAATCAAAGGCTGAAGGACGCACTGAAGGAATACGTGAATGCGGAAAATGGAGAACGCAAACTGATGGTACAAGAGGTGGTACGTGCTGTCTCAATGCTAGCGTTTGGGCGGATGCTCGTGGAAAGGTTCGAATTCGTTCCAAGGTCGACGTTAAAGGTGTACCACGTTCCAAGGTCGACGTTAAAGGTGCACAAGAGCGTCCTAAACAAACGTTCTGGTTTTCGTCCCGTTTACTGATTGTGAGGAGTCCGGTGACCGGAATAGACTCTTCGCTATCGGCTTTTTACTTTTCGTCTTTATTTAGCAGAGAAAGAGAGAAAAAACACACGCAAAAGCGCACTCTCTCGCCCCAAAAATTCCCCATTTCTTCCCCGACAAAACGTTTTTTCGCGTCTTTTTTTGGCAAATTACCAACCCATTCACCGGACTGTTTTAGCTTGTCTCAGTTTGACGTTCGCTGTGCTTGTCGCCAAAATCGCTCCAGCGACCTTGTGAACGGCCGAGTAAAGCGTTTCCATCAGTCTGTCGGGAAAACAATGGGAGAAAAATAATGAGAAAAAATTGAATTTTTTGAAAAATAAAACGTTTCGAATTTTGATGAAACTTGTCGAAAATTACGACAAGACCTTTGTAAGAGGACTATCAATCTGTCAGGAAAATAATGAGCACTCTGTCGCATCGCCGCTGAGAAAATGAATTGTGTCGCGACAAAATCAAATCGCTTATCGCTTCAGCGAAGCAATTGGACGACATACGCTCACTATTTTGCTGACGGACTGATACCTGGCCTGGATCGGGTTGGGAGGTGTTTCATTTTCTTTGGCCCGAGGGCAACAGACAGCACTTTTAAATTATGTACGCGTATTTTTTCTTGGATTGCAAATCTGTTTCTCACAACAAAAGTTAAGGAATTGCGAAGTCATTGCAGATAAAAAACCAAAGCTTCTGTCTATGATTTTTGTTATAAAGGTGCGTCTTTTTAGACGCTCAAAGAGCGCAGAAAAACCTCTCCTATAAATATGTCCGCACACATCATACAAATGCTCCAGTATCCTTTCCTATCATGGCAGATATTGGACGCATCGTGTGCAATATTTTCGCTTCTGTTTACTTCCTTTTCCTTATATTGTGAGTTTTTGAAAATTATTCATACATAATATATAATTATTCATACATAATATATATTGTGCACCGCACGGTGCACAAGAACCCCATTTTGCACAGTGCATTTCACCTTGTTGTTTGGCGTTCGCACCGTGCGGAAATATCGCTGCGATGCAAACTTTTTTCAACTTCGTCATCGCGGTTTTGCTGAACGATTTGCACAGTGCAAACGCCTTTTTTTATTGTTTTGCACTGTGCGAAGAGAGAAAAATGCACTGTGCGTTGGCGACAAGCTTGGGAAAGTACGTATTCGAAATGCACTGTGCAAAGGCTAAAAAATGTCCATGCACTTTATGAAATTGCTAATATCAGCATGTCGGGAAAATAATGAGCACAATTTTCAGTGTTGGGGTGTTCTTTACTATTCATGACTTTGACAAAATCCCCGAAGTGGACGAAAAGTTGTGGAGCAACAATCAAATCTTGCAAGCCACAAACGTGCTTTTCGATCAAAATGTTGGCCAAAAATATGTTTCCAAAAATTTCGAGGAGGCCGACGCTCTGCTCCGGTACAAGACGCGGTTCACTTACTTTACGGTCATGGTCCTGGCGGACGATTACTCGTTGCTGGAGAAGGATGTGAATCGCGGGAATGGCAGCTGTCTGCTGGTTTGTGAGAGTAAGTTGAGCAGGGAAGTGATCAAGGTGTGACGCTCAAAATTTTTTAAAATTTTGCATATACAGTGATGGAACTGATCTAGTGGCAAAAAACGTACCATTTTGCTTCCGGGAGGTATCAAAAAATGTGGCAAAATGCCTCCCTCACCAACTAAAAAAAATCTGCTTTGAAGGGCGCATTTTCCCTCACAAAAAGATGAGTTTGAAATCGGAGTTTTTGCACTTCAAAAAGGAGGTATTTTGCTACATTTTTGATACTTCCAGGATGTAAAAATTCAACGATTTTTTTGAAATTTTACAGTGGCGGACCTGATCCAGTGGCAAAAAACGTACCATCTTGCGTCCGGGAAGTATCATAAAATGTGGCAAAATACCTCCATTTTCAAGTGAAAAACTCCGTTTTGAGGCGCGCTTTTGAAATCGGAGTTTTTGCACTTCAAAAAGGAGGTATTTTGCTACATGTTTGATACTTCCCGGATGCAAAATGTTATTTTTTTGCCACTGGATCAGGTCCACTGTATATAAGTCGGGAATAGATCCCTAAAAGCTTTATCTTGCGCTTTCCAGGCGCCGCTGAGAGAGTACGCGCAATGCGGAGAGTGATCAGAGAAAAAAAAACAATTCTTGGATATATCCTTCCCAGTTTCGCTTGGAAAACATAGATTTTGCTTAAGTCTTCATCCACTCTTTGAGCGGCAAAGGTTCAATAGCGCTCACTGCTTTTATACATGTATTATTAACCTAAATTTTTTCAGGATTCGACGCCATTTTCAACGCTTCCGTTGGCCATCTCTATAGCAATTGGTATTACAGTATGTCAACAAAAATGATCCAAGTGGAGACGTCCCTCAAAGAACTCCTGATTCTGGCCGTCCGTGAGATCCACATGCATCCAGATCTCCTCGAGGACATGAAATGGCTAAATTATTATACTAGGGCTCTTGAGCCGGTCAGAAACTTCTTTTTATTCAAGGACATTAAAATTTTTTGACTCTCGAAATAAATAATTCTTGTTTTCTCTGATTAGGCGTAAATGTACGAAAACACTAGCTTTTTATGAAGCTAGTTATTACCCGGTTTGTCAAAAATCTGCAGATCGAAGCGTCCGAAAAACCCAATTAAGAAGCCATATCGAGGTTGTAGACGGGCAAGATGTACGATAAACTACGGTGAAGGACCTGATCCCCTGGAAAAAACGTATCATTTTGCATCCGGGAAGTATCAAAAAATATGGCAAAATACCTCCAAGTGAAAAAAAACATGGTTTTGAAGGGCGCGCCGTTTCCCTCACAAAAAGAGCGCTTTTAAAATCGAAGTTTTTTCACTTGGAGATGGAGGTGTTTTGCTCCATTTTGTGATACTTCCTGGATGCAAACTGGGGCGTTTTTTGCCACTTGGATCAGGCCCCTTACTGCACGCTTGATAGCCATAAAATGGCGAGCCACATCCGTTTTCACATAATAAAAGGTCAAAAGCCTATCAGGAATTCGACTATTTTACTGTTGAAGCGCCAAAAACATCTCCTTCCGTTGCCGGGAATCGAACCCGGGCCTTGCGGGTGAGAGCCGCAAATCCTAACCACTAGACCACAACGGAACATGCTGGAGGCTCTGAGGAAACTGATCTGATCTCTTTTGAAATGGTAAGGGAAGTCTCCCCCAGGGCGACGCTCAGATATTCCTTGAATTTTGCCCACCGGGCATAGGCCACATATCAACTGGCTCTGCATTGATGCGCTCAAATTTCGAATCTTTGGAGGGGATTATAGTTTTTATCATGATGATCAGTCCGTAACTGAATCAATTTCTCATCCTATTAGTATAATACATACTATGTATACTAGAGTAGTGCCTAGTCTACGGGAGGTAGAGGGCAATTAGATAAGATCAACGGGGAATAAGGTCCGGATCGACATTACAATAGCCAACTGGGATATAGCAAGTATATTTATCCAGCAAACGTCACAATAGCACACAATACGACAACAACGTGGATGGTCTCGGGTAGTCGGAGGAGGACGAGGGGGTCGACCGTCCACCGAGCCGGAGAGTCCAATTGAAAATGAATAAGATCCACCGAATGGCGCGAAGTCGAGCGGTCGGAACGGATTTGTCACGTACTCGGGGTGCCGCTGGTCCTACTCTAGTAGTATTTTCATAAAGTGTTTGGGGATCTTTTTGCTCTCGCGTAATGCATTTTCAACCTTTTCTCACGCTTGTCGCCAACGCATTGCAAACCTCAAAAGGTTCGTTGCATAAAATGTCTGTATCACAAATAACGCCGAGACCGCTGATCCAATTTCGCGTTCGTAGGACGCCCCAAGTAAATGCATGACATGTCATGACAGAGATTTTTCGTAGTATATAAGGGCCCGTTTTCTTTTAATTTTCATTATTCTTATACTGTGCAATAGTCTGCGCTGCCCATACCTGAACGAAAAATGCGGAACAACGAAGCAAAGGATATTAAAGTTGGCGTTCTCTCTTCCCTTGGTCTGGTTGTACTGTCGTCAGTGTAAGTATTTGTTCAAATTTTGCAAAGGTTGTGTACAGTGAGGGATCTGATAAAGTGGCAAAAAACGGACCATTTTGCATCCGGGAAGTATGAAAAATGGGGCAAAATGCTTCCCTCTCCAAGTGAAAAAACTCCGATTTCAAAAGCGCGCCCGCTTTTTTTGTGAGGGAGTCGTTCAAAATGGAGGGTTTTTTGTTGGAGATTGAGGCATTTTGCCACATTTTTTGACTCTTTCCGGATGCAAAATGGTACGTTTTTTTGCCAATGGGTCAGGCCCCTCACTGCATATATATAAAGGCCATATAAATATTCAATTTTTTCCCAGATCGCGATTTTCGGTACACAAAAAGGTCGACGGCCAAATCGAAAAATTGGGAAAAAAATTTAAATACTCATATGACCACCTTTATTCACCCCAACTCACAGCCTTCCCTAATTTTTCAGGCTTATGTTATTTCCGATATTTAACCACCTTATGATCAACAGTCCAGACGCTGACACCCACGCCCCCATTTTCAACGACACTTTGTTGGGCGACAACGCTCTGGTCGATACCATCCGGCTTCACATTGAATATGCCATCGGCAAAAGAGTTGTTGATCGCGATTATCAAACAATGGAAGTGATGAAGAGACATCATCACGAACTGACTTATTTGACCGCGATTATCTTGAGTCACATACATGAATCGATGGCCAAAGATGTCGCCGAGAACAACGGAGTGTGCTTGAAGACCTGTGGACGTAAGTAATGTTACATAATTTATGCATATACATATATATATATATACACTGCTCGCCAAAATTATAAATACACTTTTAAAATCGCTGTAACTTTTGTGGTTTTCAATAAAACTGTGCCATATTTGGCCCCAATATGTACCAGTGTACTATAAATCTTGTGCCAAAAAATTTTTTTGAAAAGTTTCCACAATTTGGAAAAAAGTTGAAAAAACCGAAATTTTGGAGATTTTCTTTGCGACAAAATTATAAATTCACGCAATATTTTGCAATTTTCTTGCCGTTGGCGCTGAAGCAAAGTAAGTTATTTGGCTTACTGGTTTCCTTAGGTGCCCTTCTGGCATGCTACGAGGAAAAACAGTGACAGAATATGAAAAAGGCGGAATTACGACCCTGAAACCGCAAAGACCTCGGGTTTGCCAGATTTCGGCTCAGGTAGGCCGTTCAGCCGAAGTTGTGAAGAACTACTTGGCTCATCCGGAAGCCTTCAACACGTCTAAACGTTCTGGCAAAAAATGTTTACCACCGCGGCAGAATTAAGGCAGAGAAATCCGCTGAGCTTCCAACTACACCATCTCTGGGTCTCATATAGAGCAAGAAAAAGGTCTCAATTGTAGCAGGATAACTATGCTGAGGGCACTAAGACGCAGCGATGTCATCACTGGACATCATATGAAGTCGTGCCCCAAGTTGGCCCAGGTTCGGTTAGCGCGCGACTGAAACTGGCCAAGGTAATTTTGACAAAACAGATCCTCCAACATTACGGCACAAGAAGTAACGCGGTTCTCTTCTGATGTAATGACAGTGATATGTCCTATGTGGAAAACCGTCGGGGACATCGTCTGACCATGCAATCTGCAAGGAATTCGGTACTGCAACGCTGGGAAATTGACCCTTGACTACTCAACCTGTTTTGTCAAAGTCATCTTGGCCAATTTCGGTCGCGCGCTAACCGAACCTAGGCCAGCTGGGGGCACGACTTCATATGATGTCCAGTTATGACATCGCTGCGTCTTAGTGCTCTCAGCATAACTATCCTGCTACAATTGAGACCTTTTTCTGGCTCTATATGAGATCCAGAGATGGTGTAGTTGGAAGCTCAGCGGATTTCTCTGCCTTAATTCTGCCGCGGTGGTAAACCTTTTTTGCCAGAACGTTTAGACGTGTTGAAGGCTTCCGGATGAGCCAAGTAGTTCTTCGCAACTTCGGCTGAACGGCCTACCTGAGCCGAAATCTGGCAAACCCGAGGTCTTTGCGGTTTCAGGGTCGTAATTCCGCCTTTTTCAAATTCTGTCACTGTTTTTCCTCGTAGCATGCCAGAAGGGCACCTAAGGAAACCAGTAAGCCAAATAACTTACTTTGCTTCAGCGCCAACGGCAAGAAAATTGCAAAATATTGCGTGAATTTATAATTTTGTCGCAAAGAAAATCTCCAAAATTTCGGTTTTTTCAACTTTTTTCCAAATTGTGGAAACTTTTCAAAATAATTTTTTTGGCACAAGATTTATAGTACACTGATACACATTTGGGCCAAATATGGCACAGTTTTACTGAAAACCGCAAAAGTTACAGTGATTTTAGAAGTGCATTTATAATTTTGTCGAGCAGTGTATATATATATATATATTATATATCAAGTCGTATTTTTTCAGAATTCATAGTATATTTCAACATGGCCCTCGGCCATCTCTGCAAAAAAGATCAAAAGGATTTGGCCAAGTCGTTGGGACAAGCAGCCGAGCCGATGACAGAAGTTGTCAAGCATATTATTTTGACCGTTAGTGGGAACAAACTGGACGTTATCATCAAAGCCGCCAAGGAATTGAAGAAGAACGGGGAGAGACTCAAGGCTAGAGACTTCTTTTATCACTAATTTTTCGAAAAATAAATTTATTTACAACGAAAGAGTTGGGAAATGTAACACAGGCTCCAGAAGAGAAAGCACCCGAAAATTTTCCAACTCCCTACCAGAGATATGGCCAAAATTTCAGCTCCGGCTCTTATAGTGGGGGACCTGATCCAGTGGCAAAAAACGTACCATTTCGCATCCGGGAAGGGAAGAAGAAAGATAAGAAAATGCGTTTTATCGGATAGTGACATTTCGTTTTGAACGAATCACCAAAAAATGGGCGGGAAATTTTTTCTTCTATTTTGGATTCTCATGACCTAGGTCGCGAGCTTGATGTCTACCTGACCTAAAATAGACGGCGCAACCGTCCAAAATAACCATCAGGACCATTTAGAGTAACTTTGTACAACCCACTGGACCTTGCTCACGACCTAGGTCGCGAGCTTGATTTTCACTTCGCCCCCTATCTTCGTCTTCTAATCTGCAGTCTGCGGCGACATTTTATACGATGAAGGTGTTCGAGAAAAATAAAAATTGTTTTTCCAATTTTTTTTGGTGTGTTCTCGATAAAACCGTGGTGAATTTTACGGTTTTACAATGGCTGCATTTGAAGAGCTTGGAATGCTGCCAGAATTGGCTAGTGCCGTGGAAGAAATGGATTGGACGTAAGGATAATATTTTTTTATTAATATTTTAGATAAACTTGAAGGAAATGAAGACGTTTTGGATTGCAAATGATGTTATTCTGTTGTTCACACCTTCGGGGAACAATTTTGACATAGATTTCTTTCAAATTTTTTAAGTTTTTATCATGAACAATATGATTTCATGACTCATTATACCGCAAAGCTAATCTAATATTTTTTTCAGATTGCCGACAGACATTCAGTCAGAAGGTATTCCAGCAATCTTGGGAGGTGGCGATGTTTTAATGGTGAGTTTTCTTCGAATTTATATTATCCATGTTTAGGCAGCTGAAACTGGAAGTGGAAAGACGGGAGCTTTCTGTTTGCCGATTCTACAGGTTGTTTGGGAGTCCATGAGGGATTCTCAACGTGGGAGGAAGCGAAAAATTAATGGTGAGCGAATTTTTATGATGTTTTAGATCGCGTTTTTGTTTTAGGTGAAAATTTGAAGGGACAAGCGAAAAATGGGCGTGTATTGTTTGTTTTTGTATAAAATAGGCATCTGTTAGGCTTACAGCATCTTCTGAAATACGTTTAGATATTATTCGAAGTATTTTGGATATTACTTTAGATGGGTTTTTCTGAAATTTTCTATTTTAGAACAAGCACCATGGAAGATGAATATTTTTGATCGAGATGCGAACACAGGGATTGACAACAGTGGACTGACGGTTAAAAGTACGCATCCGAAACTTTGGAATGGCACTAGATGCACAACTGGAGTTACTGGAAAGGGTAGGATACGTCTTATATTTTGATTCATTTTTTAGGTAAATACTACTTTGAGGCCAAGATAGAGACTGATGGGCTGGTTCGAGTTGGTCTTTCGACTTTGAATGCCAACCTAAATTTGGGAACCGACGATCAAGGCTATGGGTTTGGAGGTACCGGAAAAAAGAGCCATGCCGGAAATTTCGAGGACTATGGAGAGTCCTTCACACTCGGAGATGTGATTGGCTGCTTTATTGACCTTGATTTTGGGCAAATTTCCTTCTCCAAGAATGGTCAAATGTTTGATTTGGCGTTCAAAATCGCAAAATCCGCTCTGAACTCGGTATTTTATCCGACAGTGGTGCTAAAAGTAAGTGATTTTGTTGTTTTCTATATTGTTCGATGTTTAGAATGCGGCAGTCAAGATGAATTTCGGAGAAGCGGGCTTCAAATTCCCTCCTCCGGAACCGTTTACGGCGATTTCGGCGGCTCCGGAGGAGTGCCAAATCCCATCGAAATTTAATGGTACTAGTGGGGGTGATGGCCAGAAACGAAGTCCAAATGCACCCATGTGTGTTATCGTAGAGCCCACGAAAGAATTGGCCCAACAGACGTATGATGAGTTGGAGAAATTCAAGAAATTTCTGGACGCTCCGAAAATCCGGTAAGTCGAAGGATGGAGAATATAATTTGTAAATTTTGGTGTGAAAATTGATGCTGATGGGTGATATTTTTTGTTATTAGTATATAGAAGTTCTAGTAAAGCTAATAGATGCCGTGATAAACGTTTTGAAGACGAATGAGCCTTCTGGCAGGCCTCGGAAGTTGGTTTAGTTCAGCTTGTCTATGGAGAATATAATTGAGGTTTCTGCCTTTAAAACTGACGTTAATGGGTAAAATATCATTTAATTCCGATACACGAAGACCTAGAGTTCTTATAAATATGTAGTATTGAGGCAGTTGACTATCAGAAAAGTCGTAAGGCAACGAAATATTATCCATGATCACATTTGATGAGGTTTTTTTGGAAGCTAGATTTTTATCAGTAAAACGAGATTTTTTATACCTTATTGTATTTTTGAGGATAGTAAAGGCTCTGAGGCACAAAATAAATAAAATTTATCAACCGTTGACACTCAGCATACCCCATTTTCAGCAACGTTTTGATCGTCGGTGGAGCTCCGATCGTCGCTCAAAAACGTCAAGTCGAAGAGGGCGTAGACATCATCTGCTGCACACTCGGACGCCTCAAAGACTTGGTCCATCAAGACGTGATCTGCCTGAACTTTGTGCGGTTCTTTGTCATCGATGAAGCGGATTCGTTGGTGTCGCAAGGAGATGCTTCCAGAACGATCAGAGAGCTCAAGGAAAAGATGCCGGTTTTCTCGACTGACGGGTCTAGACTTCAAATGATTGTGTGCTCAGCGACTCTGCATAACGCGGATGTCAAACGGTTGGCCGTAGGTTGATTTCGGGGAGTTTTGGAAGTCGACTGGTCGATTTTTTTGAAAAAATTTTTTGATTTTTTTCGTTTCTACATTTTGTTGAGGGTATCTACAGGTCGCATAAAGATAGATAGGATTATTTTAGGACCTGTAGAATCGAAATCGACCGGTCGATTTTTAAAAATATTTTTTTTTCAAAAAATTTTTTTTCGACTGTTTCAAAAAAACTGATTTTTTTGTGCAGGACCAGCACATGCATTTCCCTCAATGGGTCGATTTGAAAGGCCAGGATTCGGTCCCAGACACGGTACATCAAGTTGTCTGCATGGTGGACCCAGTGGAAGATAAGAGCTGGATTCGACTCAAATTCAAACCGGACTTTGGAATTCAGGTCAGAAATGGGCTAACTAAGACCTTGAAAGTGATTTGCAATAGTTTTTGAGGCTTTTGGATATTGATTTTAACGATTTTCACCTTATTTTAGGGGAAAATTTTGATGAGAATTTAAAAATTTTTGTCGATTTGCGATTTTTTTTTGATTTTTATGAAGGAATAAGTAATATAAAGGATTTTTACTTCCAGACTGATGGAATCCACTCGAAATCTGAGGTCCATCCAGGCTCGAACACCCCGGAAACGCTCTCTGAAGGCGCCAAGGTCCTCAAATTTGTCTACCTCCTAAAGGCCATCGAAGAGCACAAAATGCAGAAATGCATCGTCTTTTGTCGAACGAAATTGGACTGTGATCACTGCGAACAGTTCCTGAACATCCACGGACATTCCGCAGTCTGCATGCATTCGGATCGAGACGCAGCGGAAAGAACCGCGAATCTGGAGAAATTCCGGAGCGGAAAAGTCAACTTTTTGGTCTGCACTGATGTCGCAGCCAGAGGATTGGATGTAAAAGGAGTTCCTTTTGGTAGGTAGAGGGATTTGCGAAGTTTTGAGATGGTTTAGGGACAGAGGGTTACTGTAGTTTGAGAAAGAAAGCACAAAAAATCAATCACTTCCAAATTTGGGGGTATTTGGGTTTTTTTGAGATTTTTTGGAAACTTTGATGAGAAATATGGTGCAGAAGATAAATGGATGCAGGAAAGATAGTTTGCTGGCAGGTTCAGCTAGTTTTTATATTAGAAATTTTGGGAAAATTGAGGAAATTTCACAAAGAAAGTACTTCTACGAGATATGAAGTTACAGGTCGAGAATTATATTAAAAATCGCAAAATTTTTCTGATTCAGAATATGTAAAAATTAGCTGCACAATTTTGGTTTGTAAGGGCGAAAAAACCCTCAGAAATTTCCTCGCAACACCGCGAAAATGCCCCATTTTTACATTGGAACTACTAATTAAGGTGTAGTATTCATCAAATTTGATATTTTGAGGCTTGTCAAGATGCCAAGGGTTTAATTGAGCTCAAAACAAAGCTTTTGAATTGGTAAAAACTTGGTGAAAAACCCAAGTGGAACTGGGACGATTGGGGAAAAGTACGATTGGAGAAACCGAAAAGTATAATTTTTCTTCGATGCAAGTGATGAGCTTAAGATAATCGAGGGTGCTGATTTCGAAAATTACATTCATTTTTTGGATAGTTACTTTTTTAGTACTGTAAAGTAGTAATTTTTTGATTTTTTTCCACAAATACTCGATTTGGGGGGTTTCGATGGTGATGATTTCGGAAATCTTATACATTTTTTCTGATTTGAAATCTACACCATTGAAAACCCCCAAATCGAGTATTCATGAAAAAATTATGAAATTCAAAAAATTATTACTTTACAGTACTAAAAAAAGTAACTATCAAAAAAAATGAATGTCATTTTCGAAGTCAGCACCCTCGATTATCCTAATTTCGACATTTGCATCGAAGAAAAGTAATACTTTTCGGTTTCCACAATCGTACTTCCCCAATCGTCCCAGTTCCCCTTTTCACCAAGTTTTTACCAATTCAAAAGCTTTGTTTTGAGCTCAATTAAAGCCTTGGCATCTTGACAAGCCTTAAAATATCAAATTTGATAAATACTACACCTTAATTAGTAGTTCTAATGTAAAAATGGGGCATTTGCGTGGTGTTGGGAGAAAACGTTCTGAGGGTTTTTGTAATTCGAAAATTTTTATATTGCTTTAGTCATCAATGTCACATTGCCCCCATCGGAGGAGATTTCGAATTATGTCCATCGAATTGGACGTGTAGGCCGAGCAGATAGGATGGGCTTGGCCATATCGTTGGTCTCGACGGTCCCCGAAAAGGTGTGGTATCATCAATGCAAGTCCAAAGGAGCCCGCTGTGAGAACACAAAGTTGGTCAAAAATGGCGGATGCGCCAAGTGGTATGATGAAAAAGGGGTGAGTATAGAAAGAATAAAGCGTAATAAGTAATATGGATGTTGAATTTCGATACTTGGCGATGAGTTTTGCCAAGAAATTTGAGGTTTTATATTGTTTTAGGTCAAAATTTTTGAAATTTTGATGTTTGGATAAATTTTTTGGAAAGTTACTGTGTTCAATTGATCTGAAATTTAACTTAAAGGTCTGTCACATTATTTAAGAGAAATTTTAAATAATTTAAATACCAGAAATGACCTTAATTCACCTTATTTTAGTACCTAAACGAGATCGAAACCCATCTCGGAATCACAATCGACCAAGTGGACTCGGACTTTGTTGTCCCCCTCAACGAATACGATGGAAAAGTTGTTTATGGAGATAGAAGACAGCTGAACAAAGGCCTCGTCCATTCGCATGCCGTGGAAATGGCCAGAACTGTAAAAGAACTCGCCGAACTGGAACGCACTGTGCAGCTGAACTTTCTTAATATGCGATTTGTCAAGTCGAAGTGATCCAGAAATTGTTAGTGTTGTATAGTTGTAAAATATTTGTTATAAAGGATAGTTGTTGAGATTTTTCAAAATTTTTTGTTTTTGATGTTGTACATGAAGAAAGGTGAATTTTGGAGGGAAAATGAAGGTTTATCCTCGTTTTTTGAAGATTGCTGTATAAGAAGAGTAGATAGTGCTTCAAAAAATTTCTGGGCATCAGTTTTTTAAGGTTAAAACTCAGTAAGACGGCTTCGAAGTTGGTTTATCATCAAGTGTTCATGGTTTTTTGAGACGGAATTTTGGGACATCGAGGTCAAGATGGATGTCCAAAATGGTCTCAAAATGGCCACGCTAGATGACTAGCGTGCGAAAGTCACTTGTTGCGCGTCGTTGTATGCATGTGGAAGGCTAGGAGAAGGTTCAAATAGTAGGATAATAAGATTAATCGTGTCCTAGGATAGCTTATCACCTATTTTGAGGCTTTTTCTTCGTTTTTTGCTGCAAATTTTGGTCTTATATGTGTTACAATAACTCAGGGTAAAGAAAACTAATATTCGTAACAGCTAAAATTAGAAAAGGTGGACATATTGCAAGTCTTCGCCAAGTCTCCGCCGAGCCTTCGCCGAACGTCCGCCAACGGTTTTTCCAGGCCTCGTAAGCGTTTCCTACAACCTTTTTTTTGGATATCCTATCATATCTGGAGATACAAATTATACTTTCATTTCTTCAACATCGTATCTGTAAAACATCAAAATAGGATTTATGACTACTCCCAACTCCACATTCACAAAATTACCCCCATTTCTCAACTTTTGAAACCAAATCCCACTGAAAGCTAGCCGAATGACCACTGGCCACTACGTCATCATCTTTGCACTTTGTGGCCAGCTGTCCTCTTCGCCTCGCAAGTCTTTTGTTATTCTTTTTGATCTTCACCGTTCGGACGGAGAGCGCAGCGTGACAAAAGTTGAGAATTCCATTCGAAAAATGCGGACCGCCGACTGTGGGAATGCCCAGCCGTTATTTTTAGACATAACCCAGTTTGACGCTATTTTTGACGGGCAGAAGTGGGATTTTTTTGCTTTGGAGTTTGATTTTTTGAATGTTCTGAACTAAAAAAAATTGGCGATTCAGGCCCAAGAGGAATCAACCGTATTTTAAAAGCCGATTATTCACTTTATAAATCAATTTTACTTTCAATTTTGCAAGTTACAGTAAGATTCCGGACCTAGAGCGACACTTGACCCAAATCGGGTCAACTCGAGTCAACTCTTCCTCGGAAACCGGAACTTACCGAAATTCGCCGAAAAGTCACTTGAGCCTCTTATTCGACCTGTTTCCAGGTTCCTTTTTGATGGTCCCCGACTAGAATTACCCTCTAAATCTTGATATTTCAGCTGTTTACATGGCAAATGTCCAATTCCCGTCTTCTAAGCCCATATGCCCCAGAATTGCTCAATTTCTCCGACGAATACCTGGAAGAGAACCGGCTGGGCGAGTGCGCCGAATGTGATGGACATTTTTTACGAACTTTCCAGCAGAGTGGAGTAGCAAAACCAAAAAGATGCAAGAATTGCAAATTTTTGGAGAAAAATCAGTGGTTCTCGACGGAAGTCTTGGTGGATGAGGAGGTATGTCTTCGATTTTAGATTGATTTTCTTGTTGTTTAGCTCGCGCAGGATGTGTTTTACCTTTTGCACTTTCATTTAGTCAAGAAAAATCTTTCTGGAACTTTTTTGGCGATTTTTCGTAAATTTAGATATCTGGTTCATGGTGAAGATAATTTTTGTCAAAATTGGACAACTCGTTGGGAATTTCGGTTTTTGCTAGCACGAGCATGGTTTAATCTTGCTTTGTATGCACAAAATTGGTTATTTTTCCTCCGAATTCTTGCTGTTTAATCGATTTTTTGGCTACAGACATGGTGAAGATAATTGTATAAAATTTTTTGAGGCATGCGCTCAATCCATGTTTGAAAAATCACTCAATCATGTCTTAAGGTGTATTTGAGACTTATTCTCGACGGTTAACATTGATTTATCATTTCGAAATTGGTAATGACATGGTTAATATAAAATTTTGAGAATTCTTTGATTTTTGTGCAAAAAATTAGAAATGCAATAAATACACTGCACTCATTATGAACCAGCCTATCCCATTCTCCATAACGGGCCCATAAAACCACCTACGGACAGTATTAATTATCCAAAACTACACCTACGGTCGCTTCCTTTGATATTATTGTTCGTAAAGCTGTTTATGAGCCTAATTGATAAGCGATTCTCATGGAAGTGAAGGCAAAGGGTGTGCTTTGTCCCAGTATCTATGTTTTATTTTTAAACTCTGCGTCATTTGACGTATTTTTATTGTTTTTGCAAGATATGGATGTATGTTGATGTTATTATTGTATTTTTCCATCTATTTGAAGGTTCTGACGTCACATCCTGCAATATTTTTCCGGGTTTACGGTAGCTGGCTATTGAAAGATAAAAGCGGAAGAAATTTTGGGTCAAATAGGTTCATAATAAAAACAGAAAATTTGCATAATTGCCTTCGACTGTTCGCGAAATTTCTTTCAGCGTCCCCAGATCGCCACTCGTTAGTCGGAATTTATTACGGTTTCGTCCGTTTATCTAATTCAACTATGGGGTTTTATGGGTTTCAGGCGTGTTGGGTTCAAATAAGGGCTGGAGAAAAATTATCAGAGGTTTTTATGATGTTATTTTGTCATTTTTTTCGTAGGCTAAAGAGTAAAGTGATAAAAGGCCTTAATGACTGTGATGCCTTCGAGATCTTGGTAACACCATGAAAATTCTGATCGTTGCGGTCATTTTCTTGATGTTACCATGATCTCAAGGAATTTTATGCAGCTGTTGGGTTCGAAACTATTCGTTGTTGGGGTTTGGTGTAAAATCTTGATAATACCATGAAAATTCTGATCGTTGCGGTCATTTTCTTGATATTACCATGATTTCAAGGAAGTTCTGTCATTTTATGCAAGCTGTCGGGTTCGGAACTGTTCATTGTTGGTTTTGGCGCAAAATCCTGGTAATACCATGAAAATTCTGATCGTTGCGGTCATTTTCTTGATATTACCATGATTTTCTAGTCGCCTCAAGAAGTTCTCCGTTTATGGCATCAGATTTTCTTTTTATTCTCGCTTGAATTTCTGTTGCTCTAGTTGACTCAATGTAGTTGATATATTGTCACGTCGTCTCTCCACTAGGCTTCAGTTCGAAGACCAAAAAACTTCCATGATGTCGAAAGATAATGAAACGTGCATTTGCTGCACCTAATTTACAAGTCTTTTATCAGCCTTTTGCATAATAATTTGGCTTCTGAATACGATGTGGAAACAATAAACCGCGATTCGTGTTATCATCGGCTATGACGAACATAAGACAATCAGTGTGGTGTTTTCTCGAGTTCATTGTTCTTAGTGACAAGTTGGGAAGACTGATAAGGGTCTCCATTGACTCGGATCGTTCGAAAGGATGACTTTTTTTGCATCTAGGTTTGTTGTTTTTTACTGCAGACATAGCAGCCGATTAGACTTATGAGGGACCACTTATCTTGAGCTCTTTAAGAGTAAAGTCTCTGTGCATCGAAAAAGTTCGTTCTTGTAGGAGTTCAGTTTTGTTGTAGGAAATTTTTATCGAAAGCTGTGCGTCGCACCTCACTCAAGAAAGATGTCATCTATCAGCACTGTAGTGTCGAGCAAAAATACACTTTAAAGAGTGTTTTTATCTTTGAAAGATTCAGGTACATGGGAGTTTGAAGTTTCTTCTTTGTATTTATCTTAATCGAGGACAATCAGTACATTTTTGGTCGAGCTCTGTGCGTCGCTGATCCACCAAGAAGTCTCATAGAAAATTCCTGTAATAAACTACGTCCTAAAGGGAATATAAATTTAGGTAGCGACAGCTGGAAGTTTTTATACCGTCTCCTTTGTATTTAGTTTAATCGGGGACCTTGTTTTTATCACGTTGTAATGTTGTCATCATGTGATTGAGGACCTTTGCTGAGCTGATAGCCGATCGGAAATCACGGGTTTATCAGCTCGAAACTTGCTTGGATTATATACAAAATCGGTGTTGAAATTTGGAAGAAGTGCCTCCGCAGTTGATGGAAGAAAATTAAAATAATTTTTCTTCCAATCGGTCACCGTAGCTCGAGTTGTAAAAAGCTTTCTTATGTGGTTGTTGATGTGGTGCCACGCCTAGGGTATACTAGCGTCTTTGATATTTACCATGTTTGCATGTTTTATGTTTGCATGTTTTATTAATGTCTTTAGTTCAAGGTACAACGTGTGGTGTTTGTTTCCTCTCAAACTCTTGATCCCCTTTGTTTTCTGTTGCTACCCACATCTGTTACTTTTAAAAGAAGTACCGTAATCTTACTCTTTTTAAAAACTTTTATTGACTGATTCCGTTTCCGCCGGTATTCTCTGAGTTGCAAATAATACGAGATCAATTCCGGACTATGGCTCTCCGAAATTCGATTGTCCGGTGCGAAATGCAAACACAGATCCCTCACGTTGTGAACGGTGTTTGTTTTGGTATTTTGTACGGTTTGTCGGGTATTGTTCATAAGAGATCCATTATCAGGATTGCGGGGTGCTTTATGTGGTTTGGGGAGTGGCTTTTTGCTTGTCCGGTTTGGAAACAAAAACGGCCTGGATTTGCATTGCATTGATTTTTATCTCCCTCAAATTCATAGTGCGGAAAGCTTGCTGCATAAAGTCTTTGCGCTTTTGAGAAAATACGTACTCTGATGAAGCTTGAAAACTAATTACCTCATTATCATCGTTTCCGCCGGTGAACTTTTCGACTTATCACTTGTGTGCTTTCTTGTTGTCCAATTACGGTAACCTTTATCATTGTGATGATTTTGTTGCAAAGCCTCTATTGATGGCGAGGTCTGTCCTTCTTTTTGTAGAGTTTAATTCCTATTTTTGATATTTCCAGAGGAGCAATTTTATGAGTTGATAATTCTTGGTGATTGCTCTTTGAGAGAGATTAGTCGGTAAGAGATTGGTTTTCAAATGAGTTTATTGAAGTGTAGAAGTTCGAAATTTTGTGTCCTTGATGGGGTTGTATCAGATACTGGTTCTTATTCTCCCACGCACCGATTGTAAGCCGTTGAAGTCATCCTTGAATCTAGTTTTGGTCGGCTAATTTTAGACTTTGGAAGATGAAAGTTCAATTCTCCCAAATGTTCAAGGGAAGCTCCTTGTTAACAGGTTTGTCTTTGAACTTTGCTCCTTGTCTGCTCTCAGCTTTCCGGAACACTTGAGAACATTCCGGTTTGAGCTCATTAACGCGTTGTTTGCATAAGGGCTAATTATGAAAATTTCTCGTCTCTTCGCAGGCATATGATCGGAGTTAGTGGTTAAGAATTGTACTTTTCTCAGGAACTTATGTTAGTAGGACTTCGTTGAGTGGTTTGAGATGCGTTGAGAATCTGTGGGTGTGGATTCAGGTGGTTCTTTGAGTATATGTAGGTGGTATTTGTTGCAATGACAAGAAGGAAGTTAGACATAGATTTGGAGGCTTTTAGAGACTAGACTTTCGCTTGGAAGTTGGAATTGAAATGATTCAGTCTGAGCATTCTGTTTTACCAGATTCTGAGACAACCGCGTGCAACCGCACTTCCCCTGTGCTAATGTAGTACTTGATCCGGTTTTTTTGTTGCCCATTCTCTCTGTTGATCAATTCCGAACTTCCCCCTTTGAGAACGCCTGCGTCTTTCAAGACCGAAGTACATTTTGTTCGAACTTGACGTGCAAATTTTGAGGAAAATCCGTACAAAACACTTGAGAATTTTTTTGTACGGACTTTCTAGCTCCCTTTTACTCTTTTACTAACTGTAATCGATATGTTCAATAGATTATTAAAAGGAGTTTAAATTTTTTGTCTAGGCAACTGTTTCCCTACATAACAAGGATTACTGTAAAGTAAATACTTGTGTGTGGCGATCAGTTAAATTGTTTTGAGCTGGTTTTTGATCCGGCTGATGTAATTCAAAGTACAATACTTCTTGATGACGGTATCACAACCGTCTTTTAGCGGCGTCTGAACCAATTTGTTAAACATTATTTATGTTTTCAATGCAAACCATTTCTCAAAATCGGGCTGTTCTCCTTAATGCACTGTAAAGTGTGTTAAGATAAGTCTGTTGGTTCGTATTTTTTCCGTGAATTCGGTTTGATAGTGGGTTAAATTTGGCGCTTTTATCATATCAAGCCGGAGTAATGTTATTCTAGCGGGGTCAAGTGCTCTTCGAGTGCTGAATAATAAAATTTTGATGGGTTTCAATTGTTTTTCGCAGGGTTTCGAAGGCTATTTTTTGAGGGAAAATGACCGTGAAGAGAGGCATTTTGGGGGGAAAATTATTTTACATTTACATTATGAGAAGTTTTTTGCATTTTTCAAACCAAAATAATGTCGCATTCGTTCATTATTTTTGTCGAGTCCCTGCGAAAAGTGATGAAAATCACGTGAAATCGGGAAAAATTGGTTTTTGAAAAGTTTAGCGGTGGTTTTTGACTGAAAGGAACACATGACTCGAATTTGAGTCAAGTGTTTCCCTTGAACGGAAATTTCTGGAGATGGAATAAAATTTATAGAGATAGCGGATAATGAGGTTTTTAGAGACTTACCAGTTTTTAAATCGATGTTTTCTTGAAATTTGAGAGATTTTGCAATTTTTTCGTTGTGTTTTTTGATTTCCCGAAAATTTTTGAAATTTTTCGACCATTTACGGCAGTTTTTTAGGATCTCCTTTCCCCGTTGACCAGTTCCCCCGATTCCCCGTCAATGAGAAGCCTTCTGAAAAAAGGGAAGTCGCTAAAACTCCCTCCACACATATACCGATCGAAACAAAAGGCCAACAATGCTTTGAGAAACATATTCGAGGCCAGTATTAGGTCACAACCGAAGAAGTCAGATTCAACCAGCTCGATAATCGAGCCAAAGAAGCCAAGGAAACGAGAACGACCGAAAGGTAAGGATTTCCGATTGGCGGAATTTTTATTTTACAGGGTGTACCAAATTCGGTGCCCGATTTGAATTGGCTATAACTTCTTTAATTTTGGGCCAAATTTAAAAATTTTTTTTTTCTCCAGAATCCCCAGACAACCCCATTTTGTCTGATACCAAATATGTTATACATAGGTAGGTGTCATCTACAGTTATTGGATTTATTCTTGGAGTTCATTTTTTCGGTCGTTTTTCGGTTGTTTTTTCGGCGTTTCCTGGTGTGTCCGAAAATGGAGTACGGTGCGGAAGAAAAATACGGTGGAATTTCCCATCCTGAAAATCGACGATGAGAATAAGAACAAAAAGTGAAGATCAACCTCCAGAGTTCGTCGAATGGTTCTTGGTGAAGTCATTCCCTAGGTTCTGGCCAAACTTCGTGTACTCATGTGCGGATTTTCTCGGAATTTTGACAAAACTTCTTCCATTTTCAGCTAAGTTCGTACCCATCTTTCCTGCTTTTTTTGTTTCCTGTTAACGCTACCAGTCTCAAGGAACCTATTCCACCAACGCCGAAATGTCTTGCGATCTGGGTTGGGCCTTACGTCCGTATTTCATCCTGTATTCCCTTTGAACATTTATTGGCGAACCGTTTTTGCCATGCCAAACCACAGACCAAGCTTTTTCTTCCACATCGTACTCCATTTTCGAACACACCGGGAAAGGCCGAAAAAACAACCGAAAAACGACCGAAAAAATGAACTCCAAGAATAAATCCAATAACTGTAGATGACACTTACCTATGTATAACATATTTGGTATCAGACAAAATGGGGTTGTCTGGGGATTCTGGAGAAAAAAAAATTTTTTAATTTGGCCCAAAATTAAAGAAGTTATAGCCAATTCAAATCGGGCACCGAATTTGGTACACCCTGTATTTGTTTGATTATATGATGTATAGAGGATTTCTGTCACATTTGAAGTCTGTGGATAACTTTTGATATCTTTTGGATACTTTTTGATACCTTTGGATCACTTTGGATACCTTTCCGTCCCTTTGAAATTTTTTTGATTTTTTATTGGTTTGTGTATAATTTCCAGCCTTCAACATTAGTTTGAGATGATTTCAGGCTCATGTCGAACATTTTTGAGCAGTCTTCTGACGGATTGGGTACTTCTTGCCCTACTTGGATGTAGCATGGCGTTGTGCTCAATTGCTATGGACGAAGCCATCGATCGGATTGCTAATTGTGAGTCAAATTGTTCATCAGGGTTTTTTGTTTGTCTGTTGAGAGAATTGAGGTTTTTATTTGGATTTTTTATATCAGGTGTCAAGTGTAATATAAATTTTTGTGAAGTTTTACAAGTATTACGCGATTTTTGATATTTTTCTTTCATCTTCAGGGCACATAAGCGTTCTCCACGACGTGGAAGACCGAACTATGGGCATGGCCCGAGAAATCAGCACCTTCGCCATCTGGGTTCTCTACGCTGTGGTGTTGGTCACCTCCTCGGCGCTTTTCGCCCACTACGTGGCTCCCCAAGCGATTGGAAGCGGCATCCCCGAGATGAAGACGATCCTCAGAGGCGTTGTGCTGAAGGAATACCTGTCGTTCCGCACGTTGGCCTCAAAAATGGTCGGTCTGACCTTGTCCTTGGGTTCAGGGATGCCGATCGGGAAGGAAGGCCCATTCGTGCATGTGGCAAGCGTCGTAGCGAACTTGTTGAGTCGCCTAGTCCACTCTTTCGACTCGGTCTACGTCAACGAAAGCCGGCACACCGAGATGTTGGCCGCCGGCTGCGCGGTCGGCGTGGCTTGCGTTTTCTCGGCACCGGTTGGAGGTAGGTATAAATTTGGTTGAAAGTGCTGGAAAAATTCACTATGCAGGTGTTGAATGTTGTTTAAATTATTTGTTATAGGAGTATTGTTCTCCATTGAAGTCACCAGTGTCTACTTTGCCGTCAGAAATTATTGGCGAGGGTTTTTCGCCGCGGCCTGCGCCGCTACCGTATTCCGATTGGCAAAAGTGTTCATAAGTTTGGATGGTGAGTAGTAAAAAAGTTTTTTTCTTGTTTTGTGGAGTTCTTGGAGGCCGTTAAATGTTGTTTTTCTGAATTTCAAGGTGTTTTGTGAAGTATCAGGTTTTCGTGGTAGGACCAAAAATTTTTGAAAAAATTGTATTTTTGGGATGTTTAACGGTTGAAATAAAAAATTAAGTCGTGAAAATGGTGATTGGGACACCCTGTTTATTTCCAACCGCCTTTTTGTCGAAAAATTTATGAATTTTGGGTCCCACCACGAAAACTTGAATGTTCTCGGAAATTGTCTCCGGTCTTATTTGATGGTGTGTGAAGGTCTCTAGTGTTGTTAAAACTGTAAATTATGTGTTGTAATCGTGATTGTGACGTATTTTAGACGGCCTCATCGCATTCTACCAGACGTCCTTCCCAGCGGACGCGTTTTACCCGGAGGAAATGATCATCTTCGCTGCGGTTGGGTTCGTTTCTTTTGGTTGTTGTGTTGTAGATGATTTAAGTTGTATTTTTATATTATTTCGAAGTGATTTCGGATATGTTTTTGCAATTTTTTTTTTTTGTGAAAACGGCGATTTTTCCGTTTTTTGTCGAATTTTTCAATGTTTTTGATGTTGTATCAGCCCGATTTAGATAAAAAAAAGAATGTCTAGAGTGTAATTAGTATTTTAGGTTTGTTTGCGGCGTTGCATCCGCCGGCTTCATCGCTCTTCATCGCTTTATTGTCTTGTTTTTGAGGAGGAACAATCTGATGAAGAAGATTTTTCAAAGAAAGTAAGATTTTTTTGTTTGAAATCTGGATTTTTTGGATATTTTATTGCATTATAGGCTTCTCAGAGTCTATGTTTGTATTTTAGCTGGCTGATTTACCCGATTGTGGTGTCAATTTTCATCTCCACATTAACTTACCCAAAGGGTTATGGACTCTTTATTGGCGGATATGTAAGTTGATTTTGAGTCAATTTTTATTTTTATTATCGTGTTTTACCGTTTTTTATTTTTATTTCGGTTTATTTGGAGGGGTTTTTGCTGAGTGAAACACTTGACTCAGAAGTTTGTTATTGCTGTCAGATGTTGCTCTTTATGATTCATTGTTATAAATTTGCGATTAAAAAGTAAAATCTGAAAGTTTTGTGATGGTAGTGCGCCGTTCAACGCATTATGGGTCAAGTGTTCCCCGTTTTCTAGGGTTTTTTAACCGAGAGGAACACTTGACCCAGAAGTTAGTTTTTTGAGTCAGCTGTTACTTTTGATGATTGATTGTTGGAAATTAGTTATTAAAAAGTAAAATCTGAAAGTTTTTTGACGGTAGTGCGCCATTCAACGCATTATGGGTCAAGTGTTCCCCTCGAATTTAATTTTTTTAATTCTGAGATTTTTGAACTTTAATTTTGATAAATATTTATTCTCATTGTGTTTTAGCACAAATTCAGCAAAGCTGCACAATTTTTCTTCCTGAATTGCACCTGGACTGCACATCCAAACTCGTCCGTTGGCTGTGGCCACGAATTAGACGGATGGCTCGGAGAAGACCACGACAGAGACGTTTTTTTGGTCTTATCTTGCTTCATGCTGACCTTTGTGAGTTTTAGAATTGATTTTGAGGGTGTTCAGGAATTTTCAAGTTTTCGTGGTAGGACCCAAAATTTTTAATTTTATTGAAATTTGATAGTAAAATACGAAAATTAGAATTGGAAATAGTTTATTAATAATGAAATATTAAATTTCAGTACATCCTGGCTGCCTTGGCCAGCACTTTACCTATTCCTTCAGGCTCATTTGGGCCATCTTTCACGATCGGCGCAGTTTTTGGCCGATTTGTTGGTGAAGTCCTGGCTGTCTGGAAGCCAAATGGATTCCGTGGCAACCCATTGAACCCGATTTATCCCGGTGGCTATGCAGTAGTCGGTAGGTTTCATATTACACTTGATTTAGCCGTTTTTTCGGCATAGAGAAAGACTTGACTCAAATTGGGTCAAGTCTTTCCCTGAGCCAAAAATGGCTTGAAATGCTGTGAAATGAACGGATATTGAATTTTGAAGATTTTTAGGAGCTGCGGCCTTCTCTGGAGGTGTCACACAGACGATTTCTGTGGCTGTTATCATGTTCGAAATCACTGGACAATTGGTTCATATTTTACCGGTTATGGTGAGTTTATGGAGTGGGAATATTTATAAAAATTTAGTGTATTATGCGTGTAGAAGTATATACTTGATTTTGCAATAAATTTTATTAAGTTTCAAGTTCGTATTTTAGGATTTTTTGTCGATTTTCTCCATTTTTTGACCTTTTTTTCTTCAGATTGCCGTATTGATCGCAAACGCTGTGTGTTCGTACCTCCAACCATCGATTTATGACTCCATAATCCAAATCAAACATCTTCCGTACCTACCCGACATTCCACATGCGTCTTCCAGGTTCCATGGTGTTCATGTTGAGCAGTTCATGACCTCCAATATTCAGGTAGGTGAAGAAAATTTTTGGTTGGAAAAGAGGGAATAAAGGATGGAAATAAAGTGAAAAATAGTTTTTTTTAACAAAAAAGTACTTCCATGGGGTATGGAGTTGCAGGTCGAGAATTATATCAAAAAATCTCAAAATTTTTCTGATTCAGAATATGTAAAAATTAGCTGCCCAGTTTTGGTCTGTAAGGTCGAAAAGTCCCTCAGAACTTTTCTCGCAACGCCATGCAAAGGGTTTTTTGCCCAAGTATTTACCCATTGAGGTGTTTTTTTGAGCTAAAATAAACCCTGGCATCTTGACAAGCCTTAAAATACCGAATTTGATTAATACACTACGCAAATGACCCTTTTTTTACATTGGAACTACTAATTAAGATGTTGTATTAATCAAATTTGATATTTTAAGGCTTGTCAAGATGCCAAGGTTTATTTTAGCTCAAAAAAATGGTTTTGAATTGGTAAAAACTTGGTCAAAAACCCTTTGCATGGTGTTGCAAGAAAAGTTCGGAGGGTTTTTTCGCCCTTAGAGACCAAAATTAGGCAGCTAATTTTTACATATTCTGAATCAGAAAAATTTTGAGATTTTTTGATATATGTCTCGACATGTAACTCCGTACCCCATAGAAGTACATTCCCTATGAAAGAAAATCAATTTTTTGGTACTAGAAAAGAGATACATTGGTTTTTTTTTTGAAGTAAAATACGTAGCACATACGTAAGTACGGTCTTTGCAAAATGGATTTTTTCTATATTAATTCAGAATCAAACTCGCATGAAAAATTTTTCGTTATATAAAATGTCCTGACAGTTAAAAAAAAAACGGTAAGCACAACTTTATCTAGTCAAAAAAATATATTGAAAAATTCTATTTTGCGAAAGTAAAATACGCCCTGAAATACTTTCCTTGTTAAGTTTTTTTTCAGTTCCTCAGCAAAGATTCGACCTACTCGGATGTCCAAGAAATTATCTTGTCGAACGAACGGATAAAGGCCTTCCCAATAGTCGAAAACAAGGAGAATATGATCCTGATTGGCTCCTGTTCCAAAGCGAAATTGGTCCGAAGCCTCAACGAAAAAGTCGGCCAAACTGCCCGTCAAGCCGAAGCCCTCAGGCAATTCGAAGGCAACTTGCAGGTAAAAGCGGCTGTAAGCTAATTCAACTACCCTTTGTTGTGCTGTCCTGAAATTTTGGAGAGAAAAATGAGAAAATTTGATTTTTGGAGCAAAAAAATGAGATTTTCTGCCTAAAATAAGATGAATTTTAGGAAAAAAGTTATGGGAATAGACGGTGGATTTTAAGGATAGGATGTGATGAGAGATTTACGGCTAAAATACGATATGATTTTTTGGCAAAAAATGAGATTTTTTGAATGAAAAATGGGAATTTTTGAGAAAAAGTTGAAAATTGATGACTAAAATAAGGTAATTAGGTCTTGGAATTTATAGAAGAAGAAATTTGATTTAATTTTTTCACCGATTTTGTGTCGAAAAAATTGGAAAAACGAAGAAAATTGGCCAAAAATACTTAAAATAAGGTGATTTTTGGAATTTTTTTTTATTTTTTCCCCGAAAAATCGTTTAATTTCCCCTTGATTTGATGTGATTTTCCTTGGAATTGACACAATTTTTAATAATATCAGCTTAAAAATAGTTTTTTCCCATTAAAAATGCTTTGATTTCCCCCTGGCTTGATGTGAAAAAACTCGTAAAATTATGTGTGTTTTGCACTTTCTACTGAATTTGACGCCATTTCACGAAATTTCAGGACATTAACCGCCGTTTCAAGCCGGTCCACGAGCAGCGCGGCGGGATTTTAATGGACCCGGAGACCCAAAAAATCCTACAAAATAGCTCGCCGATCGAAAAATTGAGCCCCCAAGAAGAGAACTACTACTATGAGGACTCGCCTCAAGTCTTGAGAAGTCAGAATCAACGCCTAGCGGCGGACGAGGCAGGCCTGAAGGCCTCAAAAAGCTCCCCGATTCTTCTGGGCCAGGAGAAAAGACACGTGAACTTTGAAAACGACTCGAGAAAACGGTCCAGATTCACGATCACGGCGGTAAATGACAAGTCATCGACGAGCTCGTCGCTGGAGACAGACCTAGAGAGCGGCTCGACCAACCTTCGAAGCAATAAAAGCCTGAATGTTAGCCATCTTACACATGACTTCCATAGCACCATGACTGGTGGGTTTTTGTGATTTTTGTCAGGTTTTAGGGGGAAATTAAGGGTAAATTGGACTGTAGTAGTAGACGATTTGTGAGCTAAAACGACGATGGAAATTGAATGCCAAGAGCTTTTGGGTTTTCGTGGTGGGACCTAGAATAGATCTCAGTGAAGATAAAAAATGAATGTTCTTATTATTACTGTCATGTAAAAGAGGTTCTAATTGTAGTTTCAAACTGTTTCCAGTACGAAAAAAGTTTTGGAACAGAATGCCAAGAGCTTTTGGGTTTTCGTGGTGGGACCAAAAATTGACTTGAGTGAAGATAAAAAATGGATGTTCTTGTTAGTACTGCTATGTAAAGAGGTTCAAATTGTAGTTTCAAACTGTTTCCAGTACGAAAATTTGTTTGGAACAGAATGCCAAGAGCTTTTAGGTTTTCGTGGTGGGACCAAAAATTGACTTGAGTGGAGAGAAAAAATGGATGTTCTTGTTCTTTCTGTTATGTAAGAGAGATTCTAATGGCATTATGAAACTGTTGCCAACTCGAAAAAAGTTTTGGAACGGAATGCCAAGAGCTTTTGGGTTTTCGTGGTGAGACCAAAAATTGACCTGGGTGAAGGTAATAAATGGATGTTCTTGTTGTTACTGCTATGTAAAACAGGTTCTAATGGTACTTTCAAACTGTTTCCAATACGAAAAAGGTTTTGGAACAGAATGCCAAGAGCTTTTAGGTTTTCGTGGTGGGACCTAAAACTTTAATAAATAGAAATGTTTTAAAAATTTTAAGTGGTTAAAATACGACAGATGGCGTTTGGGACTGTTTTCGAACCCTGTATGATAATTTTCCTTTGTAATTCATCCTTTTTTCAGACATAATCCGAAGTCTGGCCAAGTTCCCCTTCCAAAAGCAACGAAAACCCTCCGCGGACGACTACGATTTGCACGGCGACGAGCGAAAACGCTGGGAAAACAGTCAACTCTCCCTACCAATCGACTGGAACACAATCGGCGTGGATCCGGCCCCATTCCAGCTGGTGGAACAGTCATCTTTACTCAAGGTCCACTCTCTTTTCTCGCTACTCGGCCTCAGTCGGGCCTATGTGACGAAATGCGGACGATTGGTGGGAGTTGTCGCGTTGAGAGATGTAAGTTGGAGGGTGGTTGGTGTTTTTGGAGAAGTGGAGGGGATGTTGAGAGGGAGTTTGGGGTGATTTTTGGGGTGAAAAGGAAGGATAAGGTGAAAAATTGGGGGATTTTGGAAAAAAATTTTAAAATTTTTGGTGGTTTTGCGCTTTTTTTTGGGGAATTTTGGGGTAGATAATGATTTTTGAGGTAAAATGCGATCAATGCAATGATATTAGTGTTATCTTCGAAGAAAAAATTTTTTTTTGGTTGAGGAAAATTTCACAATTTTTGTGGTTTGAGATAATTTTTAGATGTTTCAAGGTTAAATTCGCATCCGAAAATATTTTTTCTGCCGTTTACATTAAGCTTCAGAGCTTTTTCAGCCAGATTTTTGCAAAAAATAATAAAAAAAATTAAGATTTTTTAGGGTTTTTGGGACTTTTTTTCAAATTTTTTTGATTTTTTGTGCCGTTAGAAAGTTTATGGTAAAATACGCAGAGAACGGCTTCTGGTTAATTAATTGATTGATTGATTAATTTCAGATCCGACTAGCCGTCGAGAAGGTGAACAACGGCCAACTCACCGTCACCACCGGCAATATAAACACGGACCCACCACAAAGCCCACCCCGTCAAAACATCCTCCAAAAACTCCGCTCCACCGCCAACGACACCATCCTCGACGATGAAGAAGACGCCCTGAACGACTATCTGAACCCCCCATTGGTGGTGGTCGACCAAACCGCCATCGAAGCCGACGAATGGGAGAAATCGAAGCCGGAGGAAAAGCAGGATGTGGAAGGTGGAAAGTCGCCGCTCTACAAGGGCTACAGCGTGGGGTCGGACCCTTGCTTGGCTGGCAGTCCGAGTGAGGATACGAAGAAACCGAAAAGTAGGCAATTTTGGGATTTTTTTTTATTTTTTTTGGGTCTCACCACGAAAGTTTTGAATTTTAGAATTTTTTTGGCATTGTGTTTTAACATTAGAAATGTCGTTTTTAGAGAAGAAATGTGGGAAAAAATGGCGTATTTTACAATTTCAAAAGAAGTTTTGTCGTTTTTACGAAAAAATGGGTCCCACAACGAAAAATTGAAACCCGTTGGCATTGCAGATTTGAAATAAAAATTGACTTTTTAGTGGATCGACGTGCGAAATCATTGGGATTGGGAATGCTAGCCGAAGTGGAACCCGATAAATTAACCAAATTTTGGGTGGAATCCACGGAAAGTCAGGAATCCCCACCAATGATACAGATGACGTCACCAACCCCGCCAAATGAACTTTCTGAAGATGTGAAGTCGAAAGAAACTGAAGAGAGACAGCAGAGCAGTCAGAGTAGTCACAGGTAAGGGATTTGAAAGTATTGAAATATCGGTTTTGGGTCCCACCACGAAAATTAAAATCTCCTTGGCATTGTGTTTTAGCCATGTATTTTTGAATGGAAATGACTGTCTGATGAATTTTTAGGCTGAGTCCATCATCAGCAGCCCTCTCAACGTCACTTCCGTCCATATCGGATATCGCGAAAGCCGAGGATGCGAAAAATAATTTGGATGCTCAAAGTCAACCGGCCAGATCAAGTTCGACCGTAACGATAGGAAAGAAACATCAACAAATACATTTGAAATAGATTGTAACTTTTTTTACATCGAGATTTTGATATTTTAGTCGTCAATTTTGGGTCCCGCCACGAAAACCAAAAAGTCCTTGGCATTGTGTTTCAGCCCCATTTTTAGTCGATAGTCATTACCGAACTCTAGTTTAGATTGTAATTAGTGAGATGCAACAGTGTCTTTCGCGAATCTCAAAAATTTTATCTCATTTTAGCCGTATTTACCCCCGAATTTTGCCCATAATCCTGTATTTTTGCTCACACTTCTAACCATAGACAGCTTCAACAGTCTACACGGGTCCTTGTTCATTCATTTCCTAACATATCCAGGCTTTACATTGTGATTTACGCGATTTTTTCTTGGAATTTCCCCGAATTTTGTTTATTTTTTGATGTTTCAAGATAATTTCTGTGATTTTTCATTGATTTCGAAGTGAAATTGGAGAATAAAGAGTGTAAAATGATAAAACAAGATGTGTTACGTTTATTTTGTACCCGTTTACTCGGAGAAAATTACATTTTTGTTGGAAAAAATTGGAAAAAGCTCAAAAATTTGAAGATTTTTGTAAAATTTTTGTTTTTTTTTGATAATTTCAAGGATTGTAATATAAGTTACACGTACTGTGAGACTGTGACAGTGACCGTGGGACTGGTGCCCTTCGTTTGCTGGGAATTCGTCCCAGGATGGCGTTGCGATAAGGCGCGATAAAGAAAATTGTGACCAACGGGTTGATGATTGGATGCAGGGCCAGGGCGAGAACCGGTAAATAACGGATGGTTTCGTTCTGAAAAATGGAGGATTGTGGTGAAATCGAAGTAAATTTGAGTTGAAATTCGACATTTTTTATTTTTTTGTTCTTTTTTTGGACTGCGCTGTGCGATAGATGGAAGGGAAAGTTATGATCCAGTGGCATAAACGTACCATTTTGCATTCGGGAAGTATCAAAAAGTGTAGGAAAATACCTCCGTTTTGGAGGGCTCCCTGTTTTGATACTTTTCGAACGCAAAATGATACGTTTTTGCCACTGGATCAGGTCCGTCACGGTACGTTTGATAGCCAAAAATTTCGTAAAATAGCGAGCCACGTCCTTTTCACGTAACATGAGATCAAAAGCTTATCAGGAATTCGACTATTTTACTGTTGAATCGCCAAAAACATCTCCTTCCGTTGCCGGGAATCGAACCCGGGCCTTGCGGGTGAGAGCCGCAAATCCTAACCACTAGACCACAACGGAACATGCTGAAGGCTCCGGGGAAACTGATCTCATCGCTTTTGAAGAGAGAGCCGAGATATTTGACGGTCTTTGCCGCCGAGAGAGCACGCGAAATGCGGAGTGCGGTCAGAGAAAAGCGCTTTTTGGCCTCAGCCTTTGGTAGTTTCGCATGGAAAAAATTGATTTTTTGTTGAAACATTACCTTCTGTGGCAGAAATAGGGATGAAACTTTTCGTGCCAAAATTTGCAAAAAAATTTCGCATTTTTCCGACTTTTGGTCTAAAAATCTCGGTCGTTTCAGCAAAATTGCGAAGTAGGAGTGTTGCATATGTGTTGGAAAAAAATTGGATAAATTTTTGCCAAGGTTTTATTAACAGGACAAAGAAATTTTAGATTTAAAATTGCCAAAAATTTTGCGTTTTTGAAGAGGAAAAAACTTTTTTGTTCTATAAAAAATAATAAAAAAATTACCGTCAACGCTCCCTTGACCAGAAAAAATGCGGACGCAAAAACATAACTGATCGGCGTGATAAACAAAACCAACGGCGCTGTGGTCTGAATCAGCAGCGCCAGCATCAACTTCAAGTGCAGGTTGTAGGTGCGTTGCGTCAGCCGGCGGCGATGGTAATGCAGTTTGGCGACGATGATAAAAGCGCACAGAAAGTTGTAGCCGCACGAGAGTGGGGCCAGCGTTAAGGCGGTGACGAGGAAGATGTTGGCGTGAGGACTCTCCTTGTAGTCGTAGCCGTACCAGACCTGAAAGTTGAGGTTTGTTTACAAGGCAAGTGTTCCAAGTGCGACCTTCAGATTCGCTTTAAATTTAAATTAATTATATATCAATTATTGGACATAGGCCACATTCTCATTCCTGAAAGTTTTAGCCCGCACTTTGAAGGGTGAGCCGAGATATTCAACTATCTTTGACGAGAAAGTTTGTGAAATGCAGAGAGCGGCCAGTGAGAAAACACGATTTGGCCATATCTTTGCCAGTTTCGTGCGGAGAAACTTGATTTTTTGTGGAATCGCAAAGATAGGTAAAAACGTGTTTTTCTCGCTGTCCGCTCTCCTTATTTCGCGTGCTCTCTCGGCCGCAAAGATGGTTCAATATCTCCGCTAGCTTGCAAAGCACGAGCTGAGAATTTCTGGAATTGATATGTTTTGACTGCTCAAACTACAGTAATCCACTTACCGCTCCATCGAACAAGTGTTCTTGGTATGGGAAGCGGACGATGGTGTTGTTTCGGAACACCTGAAAATTTTATTATTTTTTATAATTTAATCTTTTATTCTAAAATTAAATTCGGAATCTGTAATTCCATATTTTGTCGTTCTAGTTTCTCAAAATCTTGTTTCTCACGTGCCAATATTATTTTGAAGCTTTTTTATCAGTCTGTCGGGAAAATAATATGCATAATTTCACAATGTCGCTCTGCCGATCGCGTCGCCGAAGTGAAAAGCAATTTGATTTTACCGCGACACAATTCCTTTTCTCATCAGCGATTCGATTTTCGATGCGACAGAATGCTCATTATTTCCCCGACAAACTGATAGTTCTTGTGGTCTATAAAAGGAACTTTCAAGCCTGTTCTTTTTCTCACCTCGTCCTCCACTCGCATGTCATAGATGAGCATCGCAATCCCGAAACAAATCATTTCGCCCGACCCAATCAGCAGGCTTTTGTACCAGCGCTTTTCCAGCATCTGCTTGGCTCGCACGTCCATCAAACTGGCGAAGCGGTAGATGAAACAGTAGTTGAGGCTGACAATTGAGTGCGCGAATACCAAGGCGATCAGAGAGAACTGAAAAAAATCATGGATTACGGGGATTTTTGCAGGCCGGAAAGGGGAAAAACGCATCCAATTGCTGTCTAGACGCAATATCAATCTCGCGGCAAAAATAATGTGGAATCGTCGCGTCGGGAAGTCGCTGATTAGCGATGCAAAAAAGTTTTCTGCGACGACCCGCCACTATTCTCCCAACAGACTGATATATACAGTGACGGGCATGTTCTAGTGGCATAAAACGTTCCATATTGCATAAGGGAAGTATCAAAAAATGTAGCAAAATGCCTCCCTCTCCAATTGGAAAACTCTGTTTTAAAGGGCATCGGAGTTTTTTTTACTTGGAAAGGGAGGCAATTTGGTACATTTTTTGGTACTTTACGGATGCAAAATGAAATCTTTTTTGCCATTGGATCAGGCCCGCCACTGTATAATATTAATATTCTCTCCTTTACCACACAATGTCCCGCATATCCATTGCCGGTGTACTTTGTGAGCCCTGCAATAAGTGCTCCTCCACCGGGTATCACGGGGATTGGCTGCAGTAAAAACGACAGTAGAATACTGAAGATTAGGTCGGTGATCTGAAGGAAAATTAGTTGCATAGCATATACGCTTTGCATTACTTACTGTAAAGTTCAATAGGTAAACGCGATAGCCCCGAATGTCGGAGGTGCTTTGGCTGATGATAAGGTATACAGTAAGCCCATTTAGAAAGACGGAGATTGCGCCGATAATGTAACAGCATACCGAGAACGCTTCTGGCGACATTTAGCGCATCCTGGCTGAAATATGTCACAACTAAAATACTGCGGTATGACGGTAGTTTTGGTTACTACCACCCTGACCGTGCTCACGACCTAGGTCACGAGTTTCGTGACGACCTGACCTAACAAACAGCTCACGACTCTCCTAGTGAATCATTCAGGCCATAGGGTAATTTCTCGGCATATACATAACTCAAAACCACATTTAAATAAGTGCATATACATGTACTATTGTACTCTCCTTGTCAATAAAAATGGCACGGTACAAAAAATCTTGAATTTTATTTTTTGGTCAAAAAATGTCAAAAAAAAAAAATTTTTTTGATTTTGATGTTTTTTGCCACAAAGATCTTAAAAATGTTGTTACTAATCGAAAGCAAAAAGAATTTTTTATTTTGGACTTATTAAAAAAAGATATGACACGATTTGTAAAATTTGCTGAAATTTGAATTTTTGGGATAGCGTTTTAACGCTTTGCCAAAAATGGGGGTTTTTTTGTTTTTTGATAGAATATAACATATTTTATCAAAATATTTTCAAAAATGGATAAAGCCGCAAAACAATATGTATAAAAATTGGTTTAAAATATACTAACATGTTTAGGGTACTTTCGTGGTAACTTATGGTAACGTTTGATAACTTTTATAAGAATAGCACATATACAGAAAAAATCCCCTTAAAATTTACTACTATGTACCTTTTTCCATTTTTAAATTGAGCTATCCTATAAAAAAATACGAATAAATTAAAAAATCCGCAATTCCTTTTGCATCAACCTAATAAAATTGCAAAGCTTTACAACGTTAACTTGAAGAAAATAATTGACTTTTCACGGAAAGTGAATTACAGTTATGGCAGCACATGAAATGTCCCTTGGATGAAATGTGGCCAAGCTAAGATTTTGTAGTCTCGTCGAACAACACGTACAAAACAGTGCATTTTGTGCACTGTTTTGTACGTGTTGTAATGTCATAGACTCCGGAATTGTAATGTCAGAGACTTGATTTTTTTTGTATTCAAAAAGACGCAGGTAGGCATGTGAAAATGCTGACATAAGACCAAGAGATAAACACACTTACAGGGTGGAGCTTCAAGTGCGACGCCCAGATTTTGTTGAGACTTGGCACAAATTTAGTATAACTTTATTAAGACATATGTGTGGCTTCTAACTCGCGACTCGCGCCTTACAGCAACGACCGGGATTTTTAGGCTTAAAGAGGACAAAAATGTAACTCTTTTTTTCCGAATTTTGGCGTGAAAGCTTTATACAGATTTTTACCGTAGAATCTAATGTTTCCACGAAAAAATCAAATTTTTCCGCAGGAAACTGGGAATTATGTGGCCAAAAAGTGTTTTTATCTCTGAGTATCCGCCGTGTTAGGCGTACTCTCTTTCCCGCAATGATCGCTGAATATTTCGGTTGCTCCTGCAAACCGCGAGTTAAAACTTTCAAGAAGTGATATAAGCGGCTGAGAATCTAAATTCCGGAGCAACTTTGAAAATGGTTTGCGAAATAAGGTTCAGAAAGTGAAATGAACAATTCTGCAAATAGAGTTCACGCAAAAATGAATAGAATTTTTGTTAACCGTTTTGTGAACTGATTTCAGCAAATTGAGCTCAGATTATGAATAATTCAGGCTGTCAACACTTGGAGAATTCATGGTCAATTTCGGGCAAAGTCGGAACATTTTGTCCGACTTTGCTGGACTGTGACCAATTGCCACTATGCCAATGCTGACATGGTTCAACGACCTGCTCCCGGAGCGACACCGACTCTCTGAGAGCCAGCTCAACGATGTGTTCGAAGCCTACCAACACACCGTCACCTGCTTTAATGTAAGCATTTTCTGTGGTATATGATTTTCTCATTTTTAGGGTCTTCCCGGAGTCGGCAAAAGCCAAACAATGGTATTTATCGCCAGTTATAACTGGATCTTCCTCCGGCGTACCACAGTGTGCTACTCCACTCGCAACAATGCAGCGCTGGAAATCACCAAGCGACATACTGATAATTGCCCCGACTGGCCGCTATGCTTACCTCAACCACCGTTTCCCGGACTGTGTCCTCTAGATCAACCGCAAATCCCCCAAAGCGTGCTCATTATTTTCCCGGCTAACTTATAGTGTTACTTTTCGGTAAAGCCTCAAACACTCTTTGGTAAAAGTACAACCAAACCGGACTCCAGAAAAGGACTGAATACTGTTCAGAGGGCCAGGTGAATTATTATGCGCAGAGTCGTTTAAGACACCAAGAAAATTTAATTAGAATGACTTTTGAGACATACGTGGAATTCCATAGAATCAATCGTACATTGCTTGCATGTTTTAAAGTCACTGGTAAAGTACCGTATTCCAAGTAAAACGCTCAGATTTTGATGGTTTGGCCCAAAATTAGATTCATTTTTTGATTCCTAAGGCGTATCCAAGGCCCTTAGCAATTTTATCAGTCTATCGGGGGAATAATGAACACTGTTTTCCCGTCGAAAATGACATCTCAGAAAATAAATTGTCTCGCGACAAAACAAATTTCTTTTCACTTCAATGACACAAGCAACCAAAATTTTTCGCCTTATTTTCCCGACACACTGATAACTAGAGTTTTTTGTAGGAACGGACTGGCAAGACGATTTTACGTACTCTCTCCAACTTGATTCTTAACCAATCCAATCTCATTACACCTGACCGCTCAACCCATAACTTATTCATAAAGCACAGTACTCTCAAATGCTCTCAGACAACCTTTTTCATAGACCTCCAATAAAATTCACCTGTTGATTGCTCTGTAGAAATTGTTCAGAGATGGAATCTTTTGTAGCGCCCTTTCTTTGACAGGCTTTTTGCGATATGCCGTCAGATTTCGTCAAACTTACGTTAAACCCAAAAAACCTTTTGCACAGGGCAAATTGAGCTTTGCTTTTTTTCACAGTGAGCATCGCCAAATTCAATCTGAGTCAGTATGAACCGTTTGGACTTGAGTTGGATTCTTTGACCTTTTCCTGAACACATACATCATCCACCCACCGCCGACGTTAGTTCGAAAACTTTATTTGGCGATAAATAATATTAACAAGCAAATTGCAAGGAAAAGAAAAATTAACATTATTAGTCCGAGTTGCGACTTATTATATTATATTAGGAGATGCGGAAGGGGGGCCTTTTAAAGACGTCTGTTGGTGGAAAGAAACGGGAATGTTAAGTTAAATTAAACCTTTGCGAAAAGAGATTTAGACGGCAAGTGTAACTTTTCATGTGATCACAAGACGATACCAGTTGCATTGTGAATATGTATAAGGCTAGAAATTCGAGGAAACTTCAAATTCGGGGCAAAAGTTGGCGATTTTTTGGGGAAAAATCACAGATTTCGACGAAAAAATCACTAACAGTTCAAGCTCCGTAGTACTTGCTGCTGCGACGACTGCGGAACAGCACGAAAATGACACTGACGAAGAGGAGGAGGATCAGCAGCACGCCGCACAGCAGGGCGACCGGCGAGAAGCACACGCCACGCCCGAACGGCGTCTCGTTCAGGTCGCGGTACACCTGCTTCTGGGCCTGCGTAGCTTGCTCGGCGTTGTCTGAAAGTGGCGGGATTAGTTGGGAAGGCTATTAGTTTTCTTCAAATGTGTAGGATTTTTGTCACGTAATCAGTTTGTCGGGAAAATAATGAGCACTCTGTTACACCAAAAACAGCATCGCTGCCGAGAAAATGAATTGTGTCGCGGCAAAATCAAATTTCTTTTCACTTCGGCGACACGATTGCCGCAGCGACCTTGTGCTCATTATTTTCCCGACAGGCTGGTACTATATGCAGGCCATCTCCCACAGATCTTTTTGATAACTTACTCAAATAGTCGTCGATGACGGTCAAGTCATTGGTGACGTCCATGTCCAACAAGTTGCTGGGTCTTGGCGTGGCATTGCGTTGTTGTCGCGATGCTGCCCTAAGGGTCGTAGTCTCTTCGACGATTGGTCGTTGAGCTTGCGGAGTTCTCTTCTTGTTCTTCTTGAGCACCTGCACTGGGGGCGGCGTGGATTCGGCGGAGTCGTTGCGGTTCTCGCTGGCTTCGGGGATGTCGCTGACCATCCACGCGTCCACCTCGCCGGAGCCCTCTTCCAGCGCGTCCGGTCGCGGGAAGTCGGCGGGGATGAAGAGCTTGGTGCTGCTGGCGCTCTTCACGGGCACAGCTGTTGTGGTGGTGGTGCTGGTCGTTGAGGTAGCGCTAGTTGTAGTGGAGGTGGTTGTTGAAGACTTGGTCGTTGAAGATTGCGTTGTTGTGGCCTTGGTTGTGGTCGCTCCGGTGGTGCTGGCACTTGTGGTTGTTCCCTGAGTGGTTGTCGTGGTAGCCTTCAACGTTGTGGCCTCGGTATCTCCGGCGAACGCTCGTTCCGTACTCTTTTCCGCCGAAGTGCTGCTAATTCTCTCGTCGCTAACCGTACTGCTGATTAGCTGGTCATCGTTAAGGTCGTTGCCATGCAAAGAGTCGCCGTTGAGCTCAATATCCTTATCCTTGTTGTGTCCACAACGAGGGGGAGTAATGGAGTCGCAATTGTCTTGTTGATAGCACAGCTGGATCTTGCAGGTGAACGCGACATTGTTTTGGTCGGGGAAGTTGAAGGCTGAAGTTTCGACCATCGCTGTGGTCACATCGTTGGAGTAGGTGACTTCGGGGAAGAGGAAACGATCAGTGGAGCAGCTGGAAATGATTTTAGATTATTACTTTGCGATTGCTATGCAGAAAATCGCGATTTTTTGATTGGCTTTGCAGTTTTGGGAATTTTTAGGGGGTCTTGGAAAAATTACTGTAGCTAATCCAAATCAACAGCTACAGTCGAAAGTTTTGGTATGTCTCTTACTTGACGATTGAGCTATTTATCCTCCAAATTTTATAAAAATAGCTAATGTAGTTTTTGAGATTTTTAAAATTTACTTTGTACACCACTTTTTGACAAAAAATCTCTTTTTCTCCCCGTAAAAATTACAGTATCCCTCTTCATTTTTTTGCTTACCCATGCTCATCCTGCAGAGGGTATTCCTTGCCCTTCCCATCAACCGCCTTGCACAGACTCAGCAGCATCTTGTACATTGGCGATGGACACTCCCATTTGTGGTAGATGATATCTCCCACCTTTCCATACTGAATAATCGGGCCATTCGGGCTGTCCCGATGAATCGTGTAGGTGCAAGTAGGTGTGGTAGCGTCTTGAGCAATGCTCTGGGTGGTCAGTTCACTAACGCCAAATTCGATATTGACGTCCTGTTTCTTCTCCATGTAGAAGCAGTTGACATTGTAAGCGCGGTCGATTTTGGTGACAAATAACTGAAAATTTTTTATTGTCATTGTGGTTGATGTGGTTTATGAGAGTTATCATTGCAATAACTATGCTGTTTTTCATTATTTTTGTGTGTTTTTTTCACACTAGGGTTTTAGTAATATTTTTATAAAGTGCATGGACATTTGTTCCCTTTCGCACAGTGCATTTCACACTTTTTCCCACGCTTGTCGCCAACGCACGGTGCATTTTTCTCTCTTCGCACCGTGCAAGTCACAAAAAAGCCGCACTGTGCAATCCGGCGACGCAAAGTCGCGGCGATATTTCGATGCACGGTGCAAAAAACAAGAAATTGCACAGTGCAAACTAAACTTATGTTTTCGCACTGTGCATCTTTAGAAACTTTCCCCACACTTGTCGCCAACGCACAGTGCATTTTTCTTTTTTTGCACAGTGCAATCCAAAATATGGCTGTATTTCCGATGCACGGTGCGAAAACGAAAAAAAGTGAATGCACGGTGCAAAACGAGAGTTTTTTTAGCACCGTGCAGACCACGACAAAATGTCCACGCACTTTATGAAAATACTCCGGACCAAAAATTTTTGCGTTGAGTGCTTTTTGCCGGTCAATATGTCACAAGGAGGCGGGCGCGGCGATGGGTGAAAACAGGCATGGCAGCCTTGACCAACGCTATGCGCGCGGACGTCGTCTTCAGCAGCCTTTCCATTTTTTTGCGAAAATTGACGTCCCCATTGTTCCGCACAGGTGCCCCCAAATGGTGGTGGGCAAGGTCAAGATCGCCTCTAATTTCACATGTTTTTACCGAAGGCTTCCGGAGAGCGGCGATAAATCATCCGCATTTTCGGGATGCTTTCGGGTTGCTGGCAGGAATTTGAATATGGAAAGGGGGAAATTTGAATATTCAAAGATCCTAACCAATCTGACTTGAATTTTTTTGGCGTGGCAAAAATTTTTTTAGGTATGGCAAGGGGAGACCATAAAAAAATTTGTTAAAATGACTCAAAATAAATTTCTAGACCTATTAAAACTTGATTTTTTGGGGCGTAACAACAAAATTTTTTGGGCATGGCAAGAGGAGACCACTAAAAAATTTTTATAAAAGTAGTTTAAAAGTCATTTTTATCTCAATGACACTTGAATTTGGGGCGTGTTAAAAAATTTTTGAGTATGGCAAGAGGAGACCAAAAAATTTACGTAAAACGAACAAACAAAGTTTTTAAAATACGGTCGACAGAGTAACTCTTCCCTCTCCGCAAATTCATTTTCAATCAAAAAAACTCGAAATCTCACCGGATGAAGCTGAACAATGACAGTCATGGCATATGTGATTCCAGTGGGGCTGACCTCGCGCTTCCGTCGGATGTTACATTTGCTCAGGTCGATGGTGACATTCCCGGTGTTGTGGAAAACGCAGTCCTTGTTGTCCGAATTCCCTTTCACGAAAACTTGCGACGCCTGGCCTTTGGTGGTGCGGACTTTGAAGTTCACCACGCCGTAGCCGCATTCAATCTCGGGCTCGCCTAAAATACGAGTATTAACAAATTTTTTTTTTGAAAAATTTTAATTTATGGGCATCAGAGATCATTTTGACATCAAAAAATGAGGGCGTGGCAAAAAATTTTTGGGTGTGGTAAGAGGGGACCACAGTGAAAATCGTTTGAAAATGTGAGAAATCGGTTCCAAAGTCTCCAGAATTGACATCAAAATAAAAAATTTAGGGCGTGGTAAAAAAATCTAGAGTGTGGTAAGAGGGGACCACAGTGGAAAAAGTTGAAAAATGCGAAAAATAGCTTCCAAAGTCTCCAAAATTGATTTTAAAATTAAAAATTTAGGGCGTGGTAAAAAATCTAGGGTGTGGTAAGGGGGGATCAAGATGAAAAAATGGTAAAATACGCCAATTAATGGTTTGATATGACATTTTCAAAGCAATGAACTTGACAAAAAAAATTTTTTGTCTTACTGTAACTTTCAGTTACCGTAATCCCAAAAAATCCCCTTACCAATAATCTCATTGTCGTAGTGAAAATCCGAGCTGGCCAGGGCGATGCAAGCCGCTACAAGGGCTATCCTCAGCGTCGTCATTCCAATAAATTTACCCTGAAGAAACGCCCGCCGTTTATTTCCATCAAACTGTTGCACTCGCGCACGCTCAATCACGAAGGGGAAATTGGCAAAAAAACACGGGAATTTTTGAGGTCAAGGAAAATGAGTAATAGGTAGTACAAGGTGGGCATAATTGACTAAAATTCGGGAGCGGAAAATATTTTCGGCTCCTGCGCGGACGCAACAGATGTTTTCGGAGGCAAATTGTGGCGCAATCTCGTTAGCTGAGGATGAATGCTCATGAAAAGACGGAAGGGGCGTAATGAGGATGAAAAATAAATACAGGGTTTGTAAAATACGATGGGATATATTATATGCGGACTAATTATTTTCCTTTAAAATCAGAGGTTGAAAAGATTTTTTTGATGACGAAAAAATATCAGTCTGTCGGGAAAATAATGTGGGCTTGTCGCAGCAAAATTTCTCGCCTTGCCGAAGGGGCCAATTCACGGCAACCCGAAGTGTTTCCTGGCTCCTTCCGACACTTCGCCCATTTTGTATTGGTTGAAATCAAGCAAAATGTCACAAAAGAATTTTTCGTGGGATTTTGCGACCGAAAAATATTTTTCTCGGAATTATTTTATTTCTTTTGTCAATTTTGACACTTCGTTTGGACGAAACTCAAAAGTGGGCGGGAAACATTTTTCTTCTATTTCGGGTTGCCGTGCAATTCTCCTTTCTCAATTCTCCAGCCGGGGCTACCCGTCGCAAAGCGATGATGGGCGACTCCTAGACGTTTCGTATCCGCATTATTTTCCAGACAGACTGATGAGGAAATATACATGTCTAGCTTCGAGCATTTTCAACTTATTCATAAAACAAAAAGGCTCTAAAATATTGGTTTATAGAGTTTGCAAATCAAAGATACCTAAATAAAGAAAGCCTCAATCAGAGAGTAAGTTTTGTGGCAAAACTTCCTCCTACTTCCTTTAATTTGTCACTTCATCCTGTCATATATTCCGCCAAGTACAAAAATTTCTTATGATAAATTCCGGTAACTTTAGTTGCAACTTGTTGTACTGCCCTTCTATTAGCCTAGTACCTAATACAACGATTTCTCATCCTCCTTCTCTAAGGTTTTTTTCCATAAATGTTACACACCCTCCCTAATGCATATCTCTTCTTTAGACACCCTATCGTAGACTAAAGCCACCCCATTTTCCCTAAACAAATCTTTGACCTACCTTGCACACCGCAAGGCAAGCCTACCCAAGCCTCAGCCCAAGCGTCTCCCAAGTCTAATATTGTAATCTCTGAACCCCTCCCCCCCCTCTCCACGGCACATCCCCCATTCCAATGGGGGATGTGTCTGGGTCGGGCGGAACCCAATAACCGACTTCACGTCGCGACAAGTTCGGCTACAAACAATAATTGGAAAGGGTTGTACAAAAGGCGATGGGGCGGGTTGGAAACCTTGGAAATTTTAATATAGGTTAACCTCAATTGCTTCCTCAGAAGTCGGCGGTTTTTTTTCGGGGGGCGTCGCGCGCGACGAGTTCAAGGCAAAAATAAGGCAATTTCCTGGACTTCCAATAAAGGTGCGACCGAAGGGGGCGGCGCTTCGCGGGGATGGTCAAAAAACGAACAAAAAACGAGGGGTTTTGAGAACTCGATTTGCATATTGCGCAAGATTAAAAGCGCCGGGATTAATTTGTATAGTCTAATTAAAGCGATTGGTAATACGTAATGTGGGTTAGGTGAGATTAGAAACGAAGAGAATATTCAAAGGGACAGTTGCATGGGGAGGGCTGTAAAAGTCGATTTTTGGGGATTAGATAGCAAACAATAGAAGCAGATCGAGATACGGTAAAAATTAAGCACGCTGCTATCAGTTTGTCGGGAAAATAATGTGGATTTTTCGCAGCAAAATGTCTGGCCTCGTCGAAAAACAGGCCAAATTCCCTGCTACGGCGAGCCGTTGCAAAGAGGTGATTCCAAGGCGCGACGAATCCACATTATTTTCCCGACAGACTGTTATTAGCATTTTCAGCACGAGGAAATCGAGATTAACGCGGCGCTAGAATTTTGCCCACTGGATCCACGAAAATCACGGAATTCTTGCCGATGGCACAAACCTTAGGCGATGACGGCCCGGATTTTAGCGGTCTTCGACGTTAGCCAACGTGCATAGGGCCTAATCGGACTGGATGCTGCCCTTCTGACAAACGCCTTGGAGCAGCGAAAGGGCCAGGCACGTACAGGGATAAAAAGGAGGACCTGTATAGAAGGCGAGTCCAATACATGGCTAGTCCGAACCCGCGCGAAGGAGTATTACGCTTTTTCAAAAGTGCGTAGACTTTTTTCTGTCTTTTTTCGCACCGCACAGTGCATGTTGAGCGACGAAATCCTTTTCGAAAAATTTTGCACTGTGCAATTTGTTTTCTCACGCCCAAAATCGCACCGGCCTCGTTGCGGAAAGCCTGAGTCGCTGCGACATTGCACTTGCATGGTGCAAAGGGTCGAATGCGCGCCGCCAAAAAGGGATTTTGTGCACGGTGCGACCCGCGACAAAAAGTCTACGCACTTTTGAAAAAGCGTAATACGGTGCTAAATGGGGTTTTTTGTGCGTGGTTACAAAATGTCTAATATGTCCATGCACTTTATGAAAATATGTATTCTCTTTCTGTCGGGAAAATAATGAGCGCAATGTCGCTGCGACGCAATTTGATTTTGCCGCGACACAACTCATTTTCCCGGTGGCGATGCGATTTTCGATGCGACAGAGTGCTCACTATTTTCCCTACAGACTGATAGTAGTTTGGCCAAGGAGTGACTATAGAAAGAACAGAGCCGGCTAGAGAAAAAACGTCTTCCAAGGCCAGAACTTTGATCAGTTCCCCGTCATATATTTTAGCCTCTTTCTCTTCCTGGAAGCCCTCCAACTTCCAGGCCCCCAAACCCATTAAAGGCAGCGACAATGATCAATCGGAAAAAGTCCATGGCGCCAGAATCACCTTCGGAAAAGTTTCCGAATTTGGCGATTGTGGGAAAGCGCCAGAAATTTGGAGATATTTCGATAATGAACGAGCTTTTGCCTAGCTTTTGACCATTTTAAAAATATTTTTCGGCCTGGGTTACTCATCCCGAAATTTTGATGATTTTTCTCGAACGGGTTAAAAAGTTTATGTGGAAATTTCCTAGGTTATTATGTTTGGATTTTGATCGTTTTCTTGGCATTTTTTCCACATGATTTTCAATATCTGTGGCCATCAAAAATTACTGAAAATTCTGGTTCAACCTTTGCAAAAACAGTCGAGATATTCAATGGGATATACCATACTGATAAAAGAAAATATGACTTTTTTATTTGCGAATTTTGGCATGAAAAATTTCATGGAATATATTTCTACTGTAGAGGGTAATGTTTCCACAAAAATCAATTTTTTCCAAGGGAAACTGGCAAAGATACGATCAAAAAGCGTTTTTTCTGTGACCCCTCTCTGCGTTTCGCGTACTCTCTCGGCCGCAGAGATCGTTGAACATCTCTGCGACGCCTGCAAGTTGTTATCTAAAACTTTTAGAGATTTATATGTGGCCCATGCCCTAAATGTGTGCAAAGTTCAAGGCCAACCTGAATGTCGCAATTGGGGAGACTTCCCTTGTCAATTCAAAAGAGATCCGATCAGTTTCCTAAGGGCCTCCATCATGTTCCGTTGTGGTCTAGTGGTTAGGATTTGCGGCTCTCACCCGCAAGGCCCGGGTTCGATTCCCGGCAACGGAAGAAGACTTTTTTACAATTTAAAAGTAAAATAGCCGAGTAATAAAAAATCACATAGTTTTTTCATGTCTATTTTTATCGAGCGGGTAATGTTTCCACAAAAAAGCTAATTTTTTCCACGCAAAATTAGCAAAGATATGGGCGAAAAAGTGCTTTTGGAGGGTTTGGTTTTCTCTGACCGCTCTCCGCATTTCGCGTACTCTCTCGGCCGGGAAGATCGTTGAATATCTCTATGGCCACTGCAAAGCGGGAGCTAAAACTTTCAGAGATTCATATATAGCCCATGCCTGAAATATGTGCTAAATTTAAGGAAAATCTGAGCGTCGCAATTGGGGTATTTTTTATTTTTTTTAATAAAATTCTTCTACAAACAACCGCCTAAACTCGGCCAAAAAACATGCCAAGCAAAGTTTTTAGGCTCTCAAATTTGACCTGTCTACTTAACTGGCCATAGCGCGACAAAAAATATAAAAAAAAATCGAGAGCTCTAATTACAGGTGGTTCGGGGCCGGATCAAAAAAAAATGCCTCTGCATTGTCCATGACCCTCGAATGTTTTGTCCGCCGAGACCCAATTCCACAGCACACAATAGCGACAAATGCCCCGCCTAATAAAGGGAATGCAGGGCGATCTTCTTCATGGGAAATTGCGCATATCGGATATTCAAATTTTTTGTGGTTTTTGAAATTTTTTTGGAAAAAAATTTTTTTTTGATGACGATACCCAAGTAATAAATACCCTTCAAATTTTTGGGATTTTTGAAATTTTTTTGAAAGAAAAATAAAAAAAAATTTTTTTGATGACTATAGCAAAACCCAAGTAATTAATTTTTTTTCGAATTTTTAAACTTTTTTAAAAAAAAAATTTTTTTTGAAAAGATTTTTTTGATGACTATATCAATACCCAAGTAATTTTTGGGATTTTTGAAATTTTTTCTAAAAAAAAAATTTTTTGAAATATTTTTTGATGACTATAGCAAGTAATACCCAAGTCAACACAACCCCAAAGTGTTTCCGATTGCATAAGAAAGGGGTAGAGAGTTCGGGGAGAGTGCTTATTACGCTCACAGAAATCCATCCTGAAGGTCAGTTTGTAATTTTTCGCATCCAAAAAGTAATGCGCAAAAAGAAGAAGGTGCGCCAGGCGTTTTCCCTCAGGGCGGCTTGGGAATTCACCTCGATTTCGCTTCGAATGGGCTGAGGATTTAGTTCAATGAGAAAAATTATGGGGTAAAATTATATTGTAGTAGAGAATCGTTGAA